GTATGTACGTATGTATGTATGTGTGCATGCATGCATGCATGCATGCATGCTTACATACATGTATGTATGTATGTATGTATGTATGTATGTATGTAATGTATGTATGTATGTATGTATGTAATGTAATGTAATGTAATGTATGTATGTATGTATGTATGTATGTATGTATCCTTGCACTTCCCCTTTGCTCCCCAGTATTTCCCGCAAAAAAAACACGGTTTTTCCAGCGTTTTCGCAAAGAGGACGTCCAAAAACATTGAGTTTTTCCAGATTTTCGGCAAAAGGATGCAGGAAGCCCAAGCCAGCAAAAAAGCCGGCAGGGGGAATCGAGCCTGGGACCCTTGTTTTGCGACACCGGCTCCCCGAAGACTACGTTTAGTGGAACGTCATCAAATTGCCGCGCGGTACGTGGGGGACCCCCCCCCTCCCTCCCCCCCCCCCAAAAAACCTACGTAATAGACGTCGGGCGGGGGGGGTTAGGGGGGGGGTCATCCTCTATCCTCCAGTAAGTATCCGACACGCCGAGCAATGTCGGCGGATATATATATATATATATGTCTTTGTTGTTTCTGAGATGCGAATGCTAAAACAGCCGGCAAATCTTGCCTGGCATTCGAATATCTTGGCAGCCGGCTGAACAGCGCAGGCAGCCAGTCCTCATTGTGGAGCGAGCAGCCCGCCAATGCAAACGGACTTGCAGAAGTTGCAAATCCTGAGGCGAGGTCCCGTTGCATGGTGAGCGCCATGTTTGTACATTCTTTTTGGTTTGGCCAAAACCCGAGATCCCACCAAGTGGTTTCAGTGTTTGATGCCGGATTTCCCTTCTACACGTTCTGACACATTCACATTTTGCAAGAGTGCATGTGGCACTTGGCAGGGTGCCCTTGCTGAACTTGGAGGCCATGCTGCCTCAGCTTGGCATGCGCTTTTCGAATGATCAACACTGTTGCCAGCGGGTTTCCTACTTTTATCTTGCTTATTGAGCAACGCGCCATGTTTGGTTTGCAGGCAAGGGGCTTGTGAGACACTTTGGCACGGGCGAGAACATCGTCCTGCACCTGCAATTTTTCGGCAAGAAGGACTGATGGGCTGACCAGCGGACTGCCTCCAGCAATCAAGTGAAATGCCAGGACGTGTTTGCTTTCGGATTTGGCTGCATAGCTGCTTTGCTGCGCGAGAGGTTTGGCCAGAGTAGCTCTTGGGCGTGGACCTATGCCCAAAAGGTAGATTGCATCCCACAACCCATTTGGCATCACCTGCCCAATCTATCTCGGAGCAACTTGCCTTCAGATGTCACGCCCATCGCTTGCTTTTTGTCAAGCGATAACTCAGGTCTGTTGGACCTTCGAGCAAGCACAGATCGACGAAATTCGGTCCAAAATGAAACCGCTGCTTGACTGCAGACCTTAACACTGCTCCGTACTTGATTGGCATGGGTAAAGCAAGGTGAAGTTGTGCTATGCAGGGGTCCATTTACCCGAAGGTGGACTTAAGGCTTCCTTTTTGAGGACATCAACCACCCCTGCGTTTAAGTCTACCTTGGGGTACCAACGAAATGGAAAGCTCGTGATGTGTGGCGACCATGAACTGGACGTTGGTTCTACTGTACCCTTGGCAGAGTGGAACTGTTCCGATGGACAAAAGGTTCGCACAACGCCTGCACTGATGGCAAACCTTGACATACTGGTGTTTGCATTAAGCAAAGAGTCGCCATGACTTTGCACAGACTGTCGCCAAGGTTTCTGGTACGGCCGCAGCATAGTGCCTTGGGCGGCTTTTCTGGTTTGTCAGAATTCGGACCACAAAGCGATGGGAAATTGGCCTGGGAGAAGAGCAACTGGAGGCGGTGGTGTGGAGGAGGAAACCATGAACTTCATCCTGAAGCGAAAGTCTGAGCAGGCCCGGGCCAAAGGCTTCCCAGTGGCTAACTTGCTGTGACTGGGGCCCGACAGGATGACGACATGGACGGAGAATCTGGCGAGGAGGTGGAGGATGAGGAGGAGGAGGCACAGGCAGCACAGGTGACATTGCGGGACGGAAGGGTACTCCACCGCTTTTGTCATGCGAAGGCCAAATGCATTGTGCAGGATAAGCACCACCCTGAGCTTGTGCAAGTGAGAGCAATGTGATACATCCGGGCATGTTGTTCGGCCGTGGCATATCAAGGATCATTCTGTCAACAAATAGCCCGCTGGAGAAGCTCGCTCATTCATATGCCTCTTGCCTGGAGCAGGTCATTCTCCAAATGGTTCCGCCACGCCATGGGCCCCACTGTAGCACCTTCTGGCGGCTTTTGCTGTTCTGGTCGAAGTGTAGCTACCTCACTTTGGGGTAAACTCGGTGTCACCTATGAAGAATGCCTGGTTTAAGTTTTAGCCAGGAATGCTGCCGCCTGTGCTCAAATGGGGGATACCGTGGAGTCGAAAGTCCAGGAAGAAAAAGTCGTGAGGTATTGATGGACACGACACTGTCCAGATGGCAAAGCAAAGTGCAGCAGTGCACGTCCAATTTCTGCAGAGGATCAGGAAAGCCTAAGCCTCGCAGTTGGCTTGGCCCATCCGGTTCCCAAAACGTTTTTGTCTAACTTCAAGGGGCTGCGGGTCACATATGTACCCAATCCTGGGGAGGGTTTACCAGGCGATTCCACTCCACCTGCGGTACGACAGAAACAAACATCCAAACGCTTACTCAGCCATTGCGCTGGTTCTAGCTCCTAGGTTTTCTTTTCGAATGGTGCCTTGGGTATGGGTCAAAATTAAACCACCAGGGGACCGCAGGTTTTGGTCCATGTTTCCATCCCGCAACGCCTAGCCAGTTTGGCACGTGACCAAGGCCCTAGCGCAGTCTGTGCGGCTGGGCGGCTTTGAGCTTGTGGTGGAGCGCTCCATTGCGGACACCCGGAGCGCCCATCAAACAAAGCTTCGAGCCGAATGATCTGACTCGATTCGTCTCGCGAAGCAGTCAAGGATTCCTGAGGGTCGGGCTTTGGAGGCCACGATCCTTAGGCTTTTCTCATGGATGCCCGCAAGATTCCCTGTAAAGTCGAAGCTCATTTTTCAAGGGGTGCTGGTAGCTTCCGTGTTAGCCAGCAGTCGAACCGAGGGTCCGGGGATCCAAATCTGACTGGGCAGGAGCATCCCGGAGACGTTAGCGGAGACTGGCGAAGTCAAATTGGAGGCACGCTCGCAGCGTCAGCCCAAAAGGCGTTGCCAAGTCCGCATGGTAAACAAAATCATCCATGACCGATGTTAGCCTTGGCAGAGGCTCGCGAGCTCTCAAAGCAGATGGGCGAGCTGTTGATGTTGAGGCTGCTCAGCGTTTTTCCCAACAATTGGCACCGCTTATATTTGTCTTGGCAACACTCCAAGTCGCGTTGCCTACATTCACCTCTTGCCAGGTGTGATGTGAACTTGCACACAGATATCCTCGACACCCCGGACATATTTTGGGATGAGGAGTTTCCATGCTGCGTGCAAACGCTTGCTAAGCAAAGCGCTTCATCATGCAAAGTCCACTACCACGGGACTGACCCATTCTGAAGCAGGAGCGATTTGAGAAGATCTACGTCGCTTGTCGGTCCTATTTGGATATTGAGACTTGGCAATGCAATTGGTTCACAGACTTGCCACGGTCCAATGTCCTGCGAAGCGCACAGCTGGCAAAACTTGGCAGACCAAGGACAAGCGTGTGGCTCCTTGTTTGCATTAAAAAGGCTTTCTGCATGGAAAGTAGTAAGCTGAACATTCGGACTTGGTTTGGTGGTCTAGCTGGAGGTCCAAGCGCGGTAGAAAACCCTACTCCTCAGTACAGGCCTACAAGGGACGCTCCCAATCGAAACCTCATGGCCTTTGCCATCCCCTTTTCGGGGGTAACTTCCTTGGGCAGGATTTCAACAGACCTGTGGTAGCTGCGTGAGGACATCTTGAATCAGCGCTTGGTCGTTCTGAAGGCCTGCCAGCGGCCCCCGTTTGCGACGTGTTGCACTCCCGCGCTCGGCCAAAGTCCGTGCTACCATGGTTCTTGTGTCATTTCTTGTGTCGTGGTGATAAGTGTGTAGCCAACTGCGCATGTGCGGCTGCGAGGATTTGTACGACCTTTTGCAGAACAGCCTCAATGTCACCTTGGCCTGTTAAAAGTCAGGATCACTGGCCCTATCCACATCGTTTGGCTGGCCTTGGGGAGCAATTATCAGTCGAGCTCCAGTTGGTCAGGTGAAACACGGAACCAAGTTGGAATGGATTGTCATTATCCTGATCCTCGTCGAGGCGTGGTGACTTGCGCGATGGTGGGAATCCAATTGCCAATAGCTGGCACTTGTGGAGGTCGTGCTGGAAATCATCCAGCTTTACTTCACACCTGAAGGGTGATCTTGCGGTGGGAAAGTTCTGCAAAGTCAAAGGTCTCTGCTCTCTTCTTGGAGCAATTTCTGCGGCAGAACGCCCGTTCTAGCTTTGCTCCTCCGCATCTTGGCAAAGTCGCACAGCTTGAAGCTTCAAAGCCTCGAGAACTTGCCACAGTCACCCCAGGCATGTCTTTTAAGTCGCTTGGCATAGGCGAGAAAAAGTGGGAGCCGCGAACTGCATAGCAATTGAGAGTAGGACCTAGTGAATTAGGTTCGGTGTAGGCAGCTGCTTGTCGTCTCTTCTTGACCATATTGTTCTCTGTGTTTTGTTGCGCGATCAATCGAAATGAGTAATTCATTCTGATGCAGGCTTCAAGGCAGGCTACTTTGGCGTGTGCTTGTGCAAGCAAGCTGCTCTCTTTCTCACAGCGAGTGACGAATGCCTCGCCTTTCGTGCCCGCGTCTTCTACCAGTATCAGTGGCATTCCGTGGTAGTAGTTTCAGGGTGATGCTTGTGGCCATCTGCTTTCTTGTCTATTGAGTTTCATAAATGCATTTGTTCTCCAATCAGCAAAAGTCAGCATCTTCATGCACCTTCACTCTTTTTGACCAGGCAGGTGTTGCTTGTGCACCACCAGCATGCCAAATGTGAAGAGCAATGCCGAAGCGAAAGAGTGACTGTGCACATGAGGAGCTCCACCCTAGAGCGCAGGCTTTGAAGGAGCTTCCTCGTCAAGCACTGCTGGGCTTCCGTCGCGAGCTCGCACTCCAGCCCTTCCCTCAGGCTCTTTGCCATTTGCAAGAATGGCCCCGTTTGGTGGATGAGCTCAGAGACGCTGGTCAAAGTAAAGCTCTTGTTGAGCTTTAATAGCTTGATCTTGTATCTTGGTGGCCTGCAAGTTGGACCTTAGGTTTACATCTGACACAAGCTGAGTTTTCACACCAAGGATGTGGAGGCAAAGCTCGTGGCTGAAGCTGTGGCGCTGGCCCTTGGTGGAGACATTTGGTGCTGGGCCTTGCCGTCCACGGTGGAAGAAGTGGACGCAGCTCAGGGGGCTCTGAAGACGATGTTGGAAGATGGCCGTCAGCGGTTGCTGGCTGCGCTGAGAAATGGCGACTGATCTTTTACAATGAGCTCTGACCCTAAAGGGTGTGTTTGTTTTCCTTTTCAGAAAAGCTTCTTTATTCTGGCGCCTACAAGATATTTGCAAGACTCTTCCGTTACAATGTATCAAAGTGTCAGCGGTGGGGCTGAGGAGATAACTTCTGCGCGGCAGTGAAGCAGCATTGCGGCAAGAAGGATGGTCAGGCGCTGATGCGCTTGGGCAAGACCCGGGTGATGTGGCTGCTGGGCGCCAGTCCCGAGGAAGGCATCGAGTGGACAAAGCGCAAAAGGAGGCGGCCCAGGAGGAAAGGGAAGCAAGTCACAGAAGCAGAGTCAGAGGAGTCGTTCAGTAGCGAGAAGAACGAGCCGAGCGAAGCAAAGAAAACACACGATGCGACGCTGCAGTTCCTGCGCTCCATCCGGGAGAAGCGGAATGCGAAGATGCAAGAGACGACGTGCTGACAAGGCATATCTTGCATCATTCGGTGCTACAAAGACTCTTCCGGAAAGAAGTTTTGCTGGTGGTGATTGAGCGGGGAACGACCGAGGGCAAGACGGAGACCAACTGCTCGCAGACGTTGACTTGCGCTGACACAAGATCAAGTGAAAAACCTAGATCGAACAAGTGTGCAAAGCTCTTCAGCCAGAAGAGAAATGCATTAGCATGGTGCTCTTGCATTGGCAAGTGTAGTTTGCTTGGTAATTAAATGTTGTTGACGTGATGCTTGTATGTTTTTGATAATGCTTTTGAATTGCCTCGCGCACCTTTGCTACTGTAGAAGCATACCGTTTGTTTGCGAAGTACCAGGACGACTGCCACTTGGTGACTTTGTGTCGCAAGTGATTTCTGGAGATATTCAACATGAGCTTGGCAGTGAAGCAAGATGGACCCTCCAACGCCCACCCTTCCGATTTGCCACAACTGCAACGACTGGCTTGTCACCTCAGCATATTTTGTGGTTTTCCGTTTGCAGACACTCTTCAGACAGCTTAAGATGTATCCATGGCAAATTCACACCTGGACTCAGGCCATGTCATGGCGCTTGACGTTGGCGCTTCTTCACTTCATCAAGCTGGATGCAGTTCGAACCCTCCGCGAGGAGCGGGAGGGCAGGACGAGAGAGCTGGCTGCTCTGAGTGGAGACGAGAGGTTGTGCTCAAAGCCCATCAAGGGCCGAGGGACAGCTGACCCGAATACTGACTTGTCTCGTTGAGGTTCTGTGCGCGCTCGAAGTGCAATTCGCGGGACGGCTCGCAATTCGCGCATTTGACAATTTGTGTGGAATGCCCTGGCTTGCAGGAGTCCAACGCTGTGACTGATTTCGGTGACTTGCCCATATTGAAGCATGCCCAAGAGGACCAAAGGGTGCGGAAGACAAAGTGATGCATTCGTCATAGATTTATTCAGACTCTTCCACCATGATGTTGCGCCTCTTTGCATGGGCCAACCTGATGCCTGGAGCGTTTGCAACAGGAGGGTAAATGCATGAAGGTTCATGGGATAAAACAATTCTTTGTTTTAAGGGTCGCCCGATATTTGACCGCTTCGGCCGCCGTCCAGATCATGTCATTCATTCCCCGAGCCCAACAATGCGCAGAATTGTCATTACATAATTGAATAGACTTTGAGTTCAGTTTTCATCCCGCGACTTCAGGATCAATGAGCGAGAACATGCAAACAGCTCTGCAGAGTTTTCAGTGAATCATGTGTTTGGGGCTGGTGAGACGGTCCTGGAAAACCAGTGTATATTGTATTATACGTATACATAGAATATAACATATTATATTACATAATGTTGTAATGAACATGGGTGGCCTAGTTATTCAACTAGTTCCAGGGATTCAGGAACTAAGTACCATCCCCAAGTATGGCACAGGGTGATATCTGGCAAATCTAGACTGAGGTGAATTCCCTTTCCTTTGTAGCTCCGACATTGTGCAGCAGACCTGCGAGTTACTGAATGAAAATGCAAGCTACCGGGCAGCAATCCGGCTGCTGCCTTTAGCTGGTTTGCTGGTGACAGGTGTTTGAGAGAGAGCGAGAGAGAGTCTGAGGTACCGTTGTCAGCCGGGCAACCGTTGCGGCAGTCCTGTCCAGAACAGACGATGAGATGAACAAGTTTTGGCGCCTGGATTTTTTTTTTCGCGCTTAACTCGCATGCCTCAAGATTCCCTTTGTCTATCCGTGTGTGTTTTGCGTCCTTCATTGTTGGGGCAGGTTAATCCAGCAGCTCTGAAACGGTCTGAGGACCGCGCTTTCGTTACCTGACAGCGTTGGTTGCGCAGACCTATGTACTTCTGTCATCCGTTACATCAAGGCTCATGTGCGAGTTCTTTGAGATGCACGAAATCCTTCAGTCTCCTGCGCAGGCAAATCACGTGCTTCCTCCTCGCAGTGATTTGGCATGCTACACGGTGGGTAGAAGGCTGCTGGGGTGGGGATTTAATTGCACAGCAAGGCATTTGTGTTGGCCAAGTTGTTTTGCCTGGCAAGGTCGTTCTGTGATGCGGACCTCAGGGCAAAATCCCTGGTATCTCAAGGGAATGCCGAGGACTGCCGAAGGTCACACGGCGAGAGCAACATATTTCCTGGAGTGAGCAACAATATAGAGCAACATATTTCCGGGAGGAGCCACAGGAGCAGGATCCCAAGCACAGGTGTGGCTTTCTGTCTCAGACATGGAGAGATCCCCTAGTTGATTCTGACTAGCCTTGAGCTGGGGGAAGCCACAGGAGGATGATCTGCCTGACTTTCACGACTCGCAGGATGGTCGCTGCAAAAGATGGCCATTGCATTTTTTAAATACCCCCAAGTAGGACTTCACTTGAGGAGCTCTTTTTTTGGAGAGCTGAACCACCCCTGGATTTACTACCTTGGGCAGTCAGCAAAGTCAAACCTGCTCGCTTGGCAGCAGGTGGCGCGCAGCACTGGCAATGCCTCTCAAAAAGTTGCGCCTCAGCTCGATGGTCTGCCACAGGGGAGAGATCCAAAGCCGACTGCCCTTGCAGGCCTCACCAAGCATAGGATGTTAACCATGCACAACACGTTCGGACTGTATATTTCGGGCATGCCCATTCCCCTTGTCAGCCACAGTATCCGTTGAATTCCTTTGATGACTCAGACACACATTCCCTAGACCCAGCCAAGGGTTTGGAGATGGCGAGATGCGGCAACCCCCCCCCCCCCCTCCCCCACGATGGTGTGCCACAGAATGCATGGTCACAAGATGTCCTGTGTCCACTGCAGGTAGCATCAGTGTTTTATTTTATTGGTATTTCCTCAAGTGTTGGGGAATCCCCACAAATTGTCGATGCATCCCAACGGGACCCCGGCTCGGCCTGATCCATCTAAAGTGGTCATCCGATGGAGTCTTTACCATGGCAGCATATGTTTGACAAGCCAATGCTTGATTCCCTAGAAAGAATCTGCCGATGAGAAAATGCGGAGACGGACGTCAGCCATCACGTGCACACCAGCACATCTGCTGCTGTGTGTGTGTGTGTGTGTCAGAGTGTGTGTGTGTGTGTGTCAGTGTGTGTGTGTGTGTCAGATCAGAGCAGGCGCACAGAGCAGAGCCCCACACACACACACACACACACACACACACACACACACACACACACACACACACACCCCACACACACACACGCCCGCCCGCCCGCCCGCCCCCCCGCCCGCCCGCCCGCCCGCCCGCCACCGCCGCCCGCCCGCCTGCCTGCGCACGCGACCGCGCACGCGCACGAGCGCACACACACACACACACACACACACCACACACACACACACACACACGCGCACACAGGTAAGTGCACAAACATCCCGCAACACACAGGCTACTCGCTACAAGCCACACACACACACCAGCCGGACCCAGACAAACACAGACACAATCACAAACACTCAATCACACAAACACAACCACAACCACCACCACAACCGCAACTGCAACAGCAACCGCAACCACAACCACAACACACACACACACCAAACACACACACAGACACACAGACACACAGACACACAGACACACAGACACACAGACACACATACACACATACACACATACACACATACACACATACACACATACACACATACACACACATACACATATACACACATACACACATACCTACATACACACACCCACCCACCCCACCCACCCACCCACCCACCCACCCACCCACCCACCCACCCACCCACCCACCCACCCACCCACCCACCCACCCACCCACCCACCCACCCACCCACCCACCCACCCACCCACCCACCCACCCACCCACCCACCCACCCACCCACCCACCCACACCCACCCACCCACCCACCCACCCACCCACCCACCCACCCACCCACCCACGCGCACGCGCACGCGCACGCGCACGCGCACGCGCACGCACACGCACACGCACACCCACACACACACACGCCAAACATACACACACACACGCCAAGACACCAACACACACAAAGACAGAGACACAAAGCAACACACCAACACGCCAACACATCAACACACCAACACACACACACCACACATCACGAATACATACTCACCCACCACACCAACAGACACACACACAGAGATAGACACACACACAGACACACGCGCGCACACACACACATACAAGACACACACTTACCCACCCATCCACACCCACCCACCCACCCACCCACGCAGGCACGCACGCACGCACGCACGCAGACTCACACACACACAGACAAACGCACACAGACGCAGCAACGCACCCTACGCATACAGAGACACACACAGACAAGCACACGCACAATGACACAGACACACGCACACAGACACAGACACAGCAAACCAGACACAGGACACACACACACACAGTAGACACACGCACACAGACACACACACACACACAGACACAGACACACACACACACCACACACACAGACAAACACACGCGCAATGACACAGACACACGCGCACAGACACACGCGCACAGACACAGACGCAGACGCAGAGACACACACACAGACACACACACACAGAGACACAGGCACACAGATGCACACACACAGACACACACACAGAGAAACACACGCAGACAGACACACAGACACGCACACTGTTACAGACACACATCAGACCCACACAGGCACACAGAGACACAGACCCGCACACGCTCCTAGACAGAGACACAGAGACACGCGCAGACACGTGCAGACAGACACCCGACACACACACAGACACACGCGCAGAGACACACACACACAGACACACACACACACACACATAGACACAGGCACACGCACACAGACACGCACACATGCAGACACAGACCCGCAGACACACACACACACACACGCGCACAGACGCGCGCCCACAGACACGCACAGACAGACACACGCAGACAGACAAAGACAGACACAGACACAGAAACAGACACAGACACACAGACACAGAGACACACACACCCACACAACCCAACACACACACACACACACGCAGACATACAAACACACACACACACACAAACACGGACGCACGCACACAGAACCCACACAGACACACACACACATACACACACACACACACAGACACACACACACACCCACACACCCACACCCACCCACCCACGCACGTACGCACGCACGCACGCCCGTCCGCGCGCGCGCGCGCGCCCGCCCGCCCGCCCGCACGCACGCACGCACGCAGGCCTGCACGCAGGCACACACGCACACACTCACCCACGCACACACACACACGCACAAAACCACACACACACACAAGACACACACACACACGGACACACACACACACACACACCCACACACATCGCACACCGCACACCGCACACCACACACACACACACACACCACACGCTGCACACGCACACAAGCTCGCTGATCATGTTAGTTATTCGACAAAGCCTAGCAGCATCAAAGGCGTTTCATGTCATTGAAGCGCAACAAACTTAATTTCCTGGAGCTCTGTTTGACGAAGCTTTCGCCAAGCAACGGCAAAGTGCCGCTCAGCGGATTTGTCATGCTCGAGTTCAAAACCAGCAGGGATCCGAGCTGTGCCAGGTGCCCCCCTCGCCTTCCAAAGTGTGGAGCTTGCTCGAGCGAGCCAGGCTCTGAGAGGCCAGCTGTCTCATGTCACTGCGGTTCCTTTTGTTTCGTGAATCGCTTTGCAGCCTATGCTCAGGTTGCTAATTTGTTCCGGATCTATCCTGCACATGCCGCGGAGGACAACCTTGAGTCACTCGGATGGTGGGGACAACAATGTTGCAGCCAGTCATGACAAGTCTCTTCAGTTTTCACACACTGAAATTCATGGAATAGCAAAGTAAAGAAATCAGCATAGGGCAAAGGAGAGCAAAAGAGCTGTAAGAAGGAGCTGGCAAGAGCATGGATTTGTCCAGCTTTTGCGTGTCTCAAACGACACGCAAGAGTCTTTATTTTTCCCTTCCCCTTCCACATCGGCGCCAAGAATCCCAAGAATTCCAAATCCATTGGATTTGTTGCGGGCTATCCCCCAACTTCGAACTCCGGACTCATGAAATTTCTTTCACGCAAAGGAACTTGGAGAGCATGCCAGAGGACGGCGCGGTCAGCGAATTCGATGTTGTGAGGATGGCCAGAAAGAGCGAAAAGCACCCTTGCGAGCATTGGAAGTGTGCAAGTCCATCGTGAGTTTGGCAAATTGAGCTAAGGATTGCACTGGCCTTTGTGAACTATGCGGTTCGAGAGTTCAATTATGTCCTCACAGGACGGCTTGGCCTGTTGTTTCTGCGCAGGGTCCTTGAACGACTGAGCGTGAAAGGTCCACAGCTGCTGCGGTGGTTTGGAGTCAACGACACTGAGACCAGAAGGAGCCTCGCTACAACCAACTTGTAAAGCTCGCACAGTTTTCACAAACTGACACGTTGTTTTGGTTACTGTTGGTTTGGGGCCATTTCTATGTTATGACATCAACATGGATGCCCAACCCAAATCAGGGAACATTGTCCGGGAACGCGCCCCGGAGCCCCGCATTCCCAGGACGATCTTAGCTACGCTGAACTCAGTTGCCGACGTGTTGGCCAATGCCTGGTACGTATACCCTGGCAGCATGTGCAATGAGGACAGTCTGTTAAACAAGCTCTTTATGACAAGAGCGCAGCTTTCAATTTCGCTTTGTCGTGTGCGATGTCTTTGCGCACTGGCAAGGAACGCTTTGCCTATGCCTTGGGGCGTGGAGCTGATTGCTCTCACGCTGACCTGCAGTCGGACGCCTCCCGCTGTGCCACCTTTGAAGGCCACTATGTGCGTGAGCCTAAGTCGGCGAAGGCTAAACCAGCTTTGTGACGGAACATGACGCCTTGTCTTGCAAGTGCGATTGCCTTCACAGCATTTGCAGACCCAGGATATTCCTTTGTAATAGTTTCTTCAAGCACCCTGATGAGCAGCTGCTCACCTTGATTCACGAAGCCTCCCACCAAGCGGTAGCGACTTGGCCTGCAATTGCACGCACACGCACACACTGGCAAACCTAACCATCCCCGCAACCGTGATGGTGCAATAGCCGCTTCCTCCTTATTTTCTATAATCTAATTTGTCTTCTACTTTTTCTACTTCTTCTTCTTCTTGATACTCTGTCCAAGATACGGCAGCCACAGTTGAATCAATAGCTGGTTGGGACCACTGAGCAGAAGCATATTGAATTCAACCAGCAGCTGCAGTCCTTTGCATCAGTGTGAGACAAGAGTTTATGCTTGACCACTGCGCTCGCCGAAGGGGATCTCCGCGGGGTCGCGGGTGTGGGACAGCGCGCCGCAGGGAATCTCCATCAACCTCCACGGTGCCGTTGTACTTGCCGTGGATCGTGTCATATTTCCTGGCTTTTGTTAACGCAGAACCACCGCGCAGAAAAAGATGGCAACTAAGAAATGTATGGTAACCCTCTACTACAAGAAACTACAAGTTCCAAACACGAAAAGGCATGCTCGGTCTGGACAAAATCTCACCATGTACGCCTCCAGCCCACTGTGGACGGCACCTCCAAGAAGGACTGGCGCGGTGGCCCTCCAAGACAAAGCATGCCAGCAGTCCCTGGAGATTTTCTTTGGCCCCACCAACAATGATGCTGCTCGGGTGGCTATTCTGGCTGCCCGTCCATGCAAGCCTTGGTGCCCAACCCAGTTTGCGGCCCAGTCTCGGACACAGTTGAATGCGACCTTTACTCGTTTACGGACATGTCGCGAACCCACATGTTGCGAACCCACATGCCCGGGATGCGTTGCTGGAAGAGGTGGCTCTCGCCCTTCGGCAAACCTAGGAGGACTTCGTGATGATGGGCGACTTTATATAACTGCACAGGAGAGGAAGGCGGCGCTTGGCGGCCAACGGTGTCACTTTCAACTTCAACGATGCCTGTCAGCCCGCTTGCAAAGCTGCAGCTGCCTGGTCCCAGAGGGCTGTCCTCGGCCGACCGAAGCTGCAGCAACTCACCCCGCGACAGGTGTCCAACCTGGAGTTCTCACAGATATGGCCTGCGGCGGCCTTTGCGCAGACCTTGGCCTTTTTGTAACTCCGACGAGGCTGGAGAATGGTGAGCAACACGGCAGAACAGCTTGCTGGCTGAAGAGCAGCAACGCCAAAACGCCATGCAGATTCACCAGTGGCTGGGCAACGTTCAGGACAACCCTGCTGCGCAGCGCAGGTGGATACTGCGCCAGGAGCAGGCGCAACTTGCAGCAGAGGCCGCGAAAGGTCAACAGCAGCAGCAGAAGCAGCAGCAGCAGACGCAGCAGCAGCCCAGACGGCCTCGCAGCCCGAAAAAAAGCCGCAGCAGAAAAAGCAGCAGCGGCAGCCTTCATAGCCGGCTTCGGCCCCGCCCCCCTTGCCACAGCTGCTGGAAGCAGTGCGCCCGCAGCAGCTGGCGCAGACTGCTGCCAACACCTGGATGGCGGTCTGGAACAAAGCCCACCCGGCAAATGCGGCGGCCCGACATGGCACGTGCTCCAGCAAAGAGCACATGCAACTCTTGAGTGGCCGGGAGGCCCCACTGCCGTGCCACCCCGTACGCTTGAGGGATGTTTCACCCATGAGGGTTTGGGGCAAAGCGGCCGGCGGACCTCCGCCCAAGACTTGGTGGCAGGCCTTCAACCAGCTGTGGATGGTCGTCCTCGCCCCTGGCGTGTGGACACGCGCCGTGGTCATCCTCGTCCCCAAGAGGGCACCGTCCAATCAGCGTCGCAGGAGTTGCTTGGAGACTCGGGGCCTCAACCTTGGCAACCTAAACCCCCGCTGAACATGCTGGTGGCCTTGCCAGCCGTAACCCCACCACCCTTCACGCTCGCTTGCAACATGCAATCGAGACCAATGACGGTTCCCTGATTATCCTTGCCAGGGACTTGAGCAAGGCGTTCAACACGATCCATGGCGCAAAGCAAGCTTTGTCAGCATGTCTTGTCTTGAACTTCTACGACAAGTGCAGACGCAGCTTCGTGCTGGCGGGCAGCATGGACTCATGCCAGACATGGCCTGCTGCAAGGCTTGAGTCCGATGCTTCTCTCCGCTGTTGCCTGGACGTAAGGAGCTGACGGCCCCACAGCGCTGGAGCAGCTGCTGCAGGTCACTGAGCAGACTGACGCCCGCCTGGGGTTGCGTCCAAGAAACAGCTGGCGCCGCAACCAGACCGTGCGGCGCCCTGGCAGTTCTAGGTGAGCGGCGCCAGACAGGCGACCGTAGCTCCCGATGCCTACAGCAAGTTCAAGCGGCGGGCACCCTCTTTGAAAAGCCTTTTGGAACGTTTGGGCTGGCCGAGCAATCCGTCTTGCGCAAGCTCGATGAGCTCGGACGAGTTCGCAGCTTCCGCGTCGGCTGGGATGGACCAAAGACACTTGAAAAGTGGCTCACCAACAAGTGGGAACACAAGCTCTTCAGATCTGAAAACACAGCATCGCCACAATGCCAACTTGGCAACTGGGCTGCGGCTGCCGCCGCCGGCGCAGTCCCCACTGGAACATCGGCGTGGCTCTCAGAAAAGACACGGGTTGACCCGATCGCCCTTATTGCTGTGCCCCGACGGTAGCCTGCGAGGCTTGACATGTGTTACGCGACGACGCAAAGACTTCACAACCAGGCCGCCTCAAACAAGCCTGGACAAGAACAACAACTGCTGGGCCTCTCATGCCGGGTAAGAGATGTGATCAAGCACATGGCTAAGGAGGATGCCATAGGTGCAAGGTGGTGTCAGTTGACCAGTTTCCCAAACAGCCGTGTTCCCCACTGTTCCACATCAGTAGTGACTGCTCTTGGCTGGCCATGGCAACTGCGAACAAGCATTGACTTGGTGTGGCAAAATCTAACACGCGAGTTTGTCATACCTGGGCCTTCCTATGTCCAAATTTTCTGTCTTTCCGTAGGAAGCTGCTTTTTCACAGGGGAGGTAATCACATTTTTGCTTGGAGGCAATTTTCCTGACTTATTTGCTTTCTTGATGTATGCAACAAACTGGCGGAGGCGTTTTTCCCCGATACAAAAGCGTTTTTGGGCGACACAAAGGGGTTTTTTGCCGAACCCTGTTCTAGGCAGGTGTCTCAAAAAAACGTTTTTTGAAGGAAAAGGCGTTTATTGATGGAACGATTAAATTTTTGTAGTTACGGCAAAATGCGGAAATTCTCCACTCGGCGTAGGCTGGTGGCGAGAGCAAAACCTCCACACGTGTCGCGAAGGAAAACTTCACGCGTAAGGCGGTGTAGGCTAGTGGCGCAAGCAACATTTTAAATGATACAACATAGCGAATCATGACACGTTTAGGACATGGCTCATGCGGAGGCCAAGTTGTGTTTGGTGACTGCACTGCTTGAGTGGTTTTTTGATTGAGCGCGCGCACAGTAGATCTGAAAGGAAGCCGCTTAGCCACTTAGCCACTTAGCCACTCTTAAGAGTGGCTAAGTGGCTAAGTGGCTTCCTGGTGGCTGAGTGGCAAAGTGGCTAGGTGGCTGAGTGGCTAAGTGGCTAAGTGAGTAACTAAGTGGCTTCCCGCTGGTTGGCTAAGTGGCTGAGTGGCTAAGTGGCGAAGTGGCTAAGTGGCTTCCTGTCGCTGAATGGCTTCCTGGTGAGTGGCTGAGTGTCTTCCTGGAGGTTGAGTGGCTCTAAGTGGCTGGGAGGTTGTCTGGCTCTAAGTGGCTGAGTTGCTTTTTTGAGATTAAGTGACTTCCTGGTGGCTGAGTGGCTTTGTCGCTGGCTCTAAGTGGCTGAGTGGCTTCCTGGAGGTTGAGTGGCTTCCTGGTGGCTGAGTGGCTTTGTCGCTGGCTCTAAGTGGCTGAGTGGCTTCCTGGAGGTTGAGTGGCTTTTGGTGGCTGAGTGGCTTTTGTCGCTGGCTCTAAGTGGCTGAGTGGCTGGAGGTTGAGTGGCTTCCTGGTGGTTGAGTGGCTGAGTGGCTGAGTAGCTGAGTGGCTTTCCCGCTGGCTGATTGGCTGGGTGGATGCGTGGCAAAATTGACCCAGCTCGACCAGGTGCGACTGCAACAGTCACACCTGGCCGCGCCCCCTCAAAAATAATCTCCACAAAACACATCGTTGTACTGTAGGGACCCGAGTTACGGTCTTCTGTTTTCTTCGGCAAATGAGGTCTTTTTCCGGACCCAAAAAGCGTTCCAAACGGCAATTTCCGAGCAAGGAATGTAAACAGCAGAAATCTATGACGGTTTCCCCGAAAGCATGGCGAAGGGTTCTTCCGCTGGGTTGTTCTCATGAGAGTCATTACAAGGTGTCATTGCAAGGAATCAGCATCATGAAAGTCATTGCAAGGAGTCATTGCAAGGAATCATCATCATGAAAGTCATTGCAAGGAGTCATTGCAAGGAGTCATTGCAAGGAGTCATTGCAAGGAGTCATTGCAAGGAGTCATTGCAAGGAGTCATTGCAAGGAGTCATTGCAAGGAGTCATTGCAAGGAGTCATTGCAAGGAGTCATTGCAAGGAGTCATTGCAAGGAGTCATTGCAAGGAGTCATTGCAAGGAGTCATTGCAAGGAGTCATTGCAAGGAGTCATTGCAAGGAGAGTGCAAGGAGTCATGCAAGGAGTCATTGCAAGGAGTCATTGCAAGGAGTCATTGCAAGGAGTCATGGCAAGGATTGCAACTTGCACTTGACTTGACTTGCACTTGCAACTTGCAACTTGCACTTGACTCCATGCACTTGCAACTTGCACTTGACTCCATGCACTTGCAACTTGCACTTGACTCCATGCACTTGGCTCCTTGCACTTGGCTCCTTGCACTTGCAACTTGCACTTAACTCCGTGCACTTGCGACTTGCACTTGACTCCATGCACTTGGCTCCTTGCAACTTGCAATGCAATGACTCCTTGCAATGACTCCTTGCAATGACTCCTTGCAATGACTCCTTGCAATGACTCTTTGCAATGACTCCTTGCAATGACTCCTTGCAATGACTCCTTGAAACAAGCAAGGAGTCAAGTGCAAGTTGCAAGTGCAAGGAGTCAAGTGCAATTGACTTGCGAGGAGTTAAAATCTCTTCTTAGGGCGGCGGGGTAGTGCCGACGACACTACACGAAAATCGACCCTCTGCGGGGATCGGCGTGGTCGAGGTGCAAAAACCCATGGTTTTTTGCGATTTCTAAAGTTCCCGCGCGACCCTCTGCGGGGATCGGCGTGGTCAAGGTGCAAAAACCCATGGTTTTTTGCGATTTCTAAAGTTCCCGCGCAACCCTCTGCGGGGATCGGCGTGGTCGAGGTGCAAAAACCCATGATTTTTTTGCGATTTCCAACATGCTCGCGCGACCCTCTGCGGGGATCGGCGTGGTCGAGGTGCAAAAACTCGAGGTTTTTGCGATTTCTGCGGTGCTCGCGCGACCCTCTGCGGGGATCGGCGTGGTCGAGGTGCAAAAACCCATGGTTTTTTTGCGATTTCTGCGGTGCCCGCGCAACCCTCTGCGGGGATCGGCGTGGTCGAGGTGCAAAAACTCGAGGTTTTTTGCGACTTTTGTTGTTCGAACTGGTCCTCGGGAGTTGTCTCGTGGTTCGCGCGCCTGCTCCCGGAACCGGCGGGTCGCGGGTTCGATTCCTCCCTGGTCCGCGGGCGGGCGTCGCAAGATGCAACTTGCATTTTAAGCAACTTGCGCAGAGCAACTTGCGCAGAGCAAGTTGCACAGAGCAACTTGCGCAGACCAACTTGCACCGACCAGTTTGCGCAGAGCGCCTTGCCTAGAGCAACTTGCGCAGAGCAACTTGCGCAGAGCAACTTACGCAGAGCAACTTGCACAGAGCAACTTGCACAGAGCACCTTGCCTGGTGCTGTCTCGCGCTTGCTTCACGAATGCTTCGTGTAGGGAAAAAGAACGCATCCTGCAGCGTTGGGCCGACCTCGCTTGCGATGTTCTGCTTTCGGGCCAACCGTGGTCTAGTTTTGATTTTGTACCGTGCTGTAATGGTTTTGAGGTGGTGCTGAAGGCCCCCGTAGTACCCAAACTCAATCGCACGCAGGAATAGGCACCCCTACTACAAAATCAACAAGGATGATCACGGGATGGAATACGCAAGTCAGAATCACCACCTTTTTGTTATTCGCCAAGGCCTACACCGATGATATTTGCGCTGACGCAGATTTGCCCCGAGATGAGAGTACCTGCGAACGAAAGGCTGGCGGAAAGGTTGTTGACGGCCAGTTTGCAAGATATTTGGATGCATCCTAGGCTGTGTTGCATTTCTGCCTTTCTTTGGTTTGATAATAGGCTACTGCATTTTGACAACGTTTTAGCTTAAACATCGGCCTAGCAGTGCTGTCTCAGTGTGCCAACCAGCTGGCTGTGTGACCCACTGCGAGGCATATGGCAGAACAACATGTGAATATTTGGCCAGTAACATGCCGGATAGAGCATTGGTGAATGCAGACAATTACTGCCTCTCAGCTCGAGCTAATGTCTCATTGCGCAGAGTCTGCTAGGCCCACTCTGCGAATTGCAAACAAATTGTTGGCCATCGTGACCCAACTAAGGCTACTACGTTCAGGCAGCGACTGCGTGAGTGTCACGTGAAGCTTCCCGCTCAGTACAAAGGCTTAGGCAGCAATTGGGCAATGATGGAGCCGGCAGTCATGTTGATTGGCTTCATGCGTCCACGTCTGATAGAGCTCTCACACAGCCTCACACAGGTGGCAACCCAAGCCTTTTGGGCGGCCTCGAGCATGTGTTTACCAGTGGGCTTCTAACAGACGCGGTAATTTACCTGCAGGACGTGGTGCGAGAATGTCTACCATCGCCTCCGCTCCCGGTGTCAAGCCGGCACATCCCCGTGTCCTCTGCAGGGCTTACTTGCCCAGGCAACGCCACCAAAATGGGTGGCCCAGCTGCGTTTCAGGGTGTCTCCTCTATGCGCCAGGCGTTGGTGCCATCATGTTTCCAGGTTGGACATCTATAGTTGGGCCGGATGCTGCTTCCCTCTGTCATTTAGACATGCACCATATCAGTCTGGCGGAAGCAGTTGTTCAGGTCTGCGTGGATGTTGCCTCAGAGGAACGATAGATGGCACGTGTAGCATGGAACCGCGATGAGTTTAAATGGATATGTTCTATTGTGATCTAGTGATGAGTCATGAACGTGGTTGTTGTTCTCTCTCAATGATGTGGCGGCCCAGTTTAGCATAGGTCGGATAGGTGCCACCTTTGACACGCCATGCGCCTCAGGTCGGCACTGCCGGTGCCCCCCAAACCACCACTGCCAGCAGGATGGCGAAGATGGATGCGACTTCGGGCCCTTTTCCCAGACATATTGGTGTGTGGCAATTTTGTGGATTTGGGCGTGGGGTGGTGTTTGTCTTTGTGGATCTCTGTTACTGCGTCCTATCTTGCCCGGGATGGATGGTGTTGACGTGTGTTAATTACTGTCCGCATGTTTGCTTCCCCTGCTGCCCTGCTTTGTGTGATTCCCATTGCTACTATATTCTCACAGTTCCTCAGTGCCTCAGCATGTACTAGTGTCGACAAGCCGTTCCAGCTGTCGTCTGGCATTTCTGCTGATTCCTTTGTCATAAGCTTTCATTTCTTTGCTTGCTGCCTTCTCGAACCCTTTCTATGGCTTTCTTCCCTTCTTTCTTCCTTTTTCCCTTTCATCCCTTTTTCTCCCTTCTCGCCTTTTTTCCGTTTTTCTGTCCTTCCCCGTGAATCCCTTTCTTCCCTTTCTTTGCGCCTGTCTGGCGCGTGCTCACTATGTCATTCCTTTGATCTTGTCCAGCAGCTCCATAACAAGAAACAAGACAATTCACTGCCCGTTCTACTTTTTTTCTATCCGGAAGCACACATGTTGCTGCCTCTTCTGTCGTTCAGTGTCCGAATCATTTCTGACGATGTGTGCCTCAATCCAAGTTCGCAGATTGCTATCAGCTTCCATTCAAATATCAAGTCTTCTCTCTTGGCCGGCTCCTTCATCCTCCGCTGTCAACGCCAGCTGTGCCTCACCAGCCGCCACCGAGTCTCAGGTTGCAGAGCAGCCAAACCGAGTTCTTGCCCCTTGGTGCAGCCAGGAAAGGGTAAGCCGGTCGTGCCCGTCTTGGATCATGCCTTCTAGAAACAGACAGATTAAAGTGAGCGAAGCCCACAACCCACTCTACATTGACATAGGCAAACTTTCCAGAACATGTTTCGAGGTGCCCCTTGGGAAGCCTCATGTCCTTTCGCATGAGTTTGGAAGGCCAAGCTGCAAGAGTTGCGATTGCGTGGCGGACGAGTGGGAAGTGGTGAAGCCCAAAAAGGCCAGTATCTACAAGGCCGGGGTGCCGGGGTAGCTCCTAGCAAACGCCACGCAATTTGAGATGGCACATGTTAACTTATGTGTTTCGCTTTAAACGAAGAAATATGTGGGCATGATGCCGATGTTGGTTTTAAATCCGGATTCTGGATTTTTAACAATATGAATGTCTCCAAAGCTTGCAGGAGGACCCGCGCTGCAACGTGCCGTGCGGATCGGAAGTCGAAGGCGGGAGAGACAACCTGAGAACCGAAAGCTTTGCAGTTCGTCAAGGGGCACAGGCTCAGGCCTCGTTTGTCAAAGTAGCTCTGGAAAGTGCCAGAGCTCCGGAGGAATAACAAATCCAAGTATCGAAAAACCACAATTAGCAACCATGCAAGTAATGCATCAAGCATGACGAAGGAAAAGTGCCTGTGCTTTAGCACAAACAAAGAAACAAACAACCGCAAACACAAACACAGAAACGCACACATGCGCGTGCGCGAGCGCTCGCACACGTGGGCGGTGTGTGTGTGTGTGCGCGTGTGTGTGTGTGGCGGTGTGTGTGTGTGTGCGCGCGCGCAGTGTGTGTGTGTGTGTGTGTGTGTGTGTGTGTGTGTGTGTGTGTGTGTGTGTGTGTGTGTGTGTGTGTGTGTGTGTGTGTGTGTCTGTGTGTGTGTGTCTGCGTTGGGTTTGCGTGTCTGTGTGTCTGTGTCTGCGTGGGTGTGTCTGTGTCTGCGTGAGTGTGTCTGTGTGTCTGTCTGTGTCTCTGTGTCTCTGTGTGTCTGTGTGTCTGTGTGTCTGTGTGTCTGTGTTGTCTGTGTGTGTGTCTGTGTGTGTGTCTGTGTCTGCGTGAGTATGTCTGTGTGTCTGTGTGTCTCTGTGTCTGTGTGTCTGTGTGTCTGCGTGTCTGTGTGTCTGTGTGTCTGTGTGTCTGTGAGTCTGTGTGTCTGTGTGTGGTTGCTTGTGTGTTCGTTCGTTCATGCGTCCGTTCATTTGAGCAAAACGCTAAACTCTCTCGTCATAAACTATGTCTTCGGCGATTTCGCGTTGCTTGTTTTGTATTTTTCCTCAGGAACGATATAGCGAAGCCCCAAAAACGATAACGTCGCATGACGTGCAACTGGCGCTTCGCGCTTCTATTTTGCACTGTGTGAGCCTTTTTTTGCCCCAAGCTGTAAGTTGCCATGACAGCTCCTGTCAATGCTCCTCGGCAATGCATGGTGGGCACATGTGTGCACGAGATGGGCCCACCCAGATGGATCGCTAACGCACCCGCGCACACGCACATGCACAGGCGCCCGCAGGCACCGGCGCACGCTACAACCTTCGAGCTGGAGCTGCCAAAGTGTAACTTGCGTACTGCGCTGGTACTGAAAGTTGCGACTTGCGACCTGGAAGTTGCAGCCAGCAAGCAAAGCCGCCAATGCTTGGGAGCCAGAGAAGCATAGTTTAGTCCGCTGATCACATGACTACCGCAAGGTAGAGAAGGCTCTTGCGCGCTTGCTTGGCTCTAGCTTATAGCAAGTTTGGTTTTTTCGTGGCACTACACGCGCCCAGAACGATACCCAAAACGACACCCCATCGATACTCCGAGAACGTCCCGGAGCAGCCAATGTGAGGCCTACCCAGTGCGTTTGCTTTTTCAACCACACGCGCAGCTCCTTCAGCGCACATCCTTCCGCGCACACAAAGGGCCCGCAACGGGCCAGGCCGCGGACGCCTTGGCGGGCTTGCGCTTGCTCCTCAGAGATCTGCTGCTGCAGGAGGATGGGAAGGCCTGACTTGCCCGAGCAGATCTGTGATCCAGAAGGCTTTGGAGAAGAGCCCGAGCTCCAAGAGTGCTGCCGCAGAAATTGCTGCACGCCTTGTTTTTGTGGTTGCCGGAAGGGCCAAACCATACCCACAAGCCAGCCAAACCATACCCACAAGCCACTGGACACTCAAGATGCGCCTATTGGGTGCTTTTGACCAATAAGCCACTCCCCGGCTTGTTGCTCAAAACTGCGTTCCCCGGCTTGTTATTTGGAGGTTGCTGGAAGGGCCAAACCATACCCAAAAGTAATTTTGGAGCGTCGAAAACACCTTTTCGGATCATTCGGGGGGTGTGAACTGCATTCTGGGCCACCGATTGCTCTCCTTCCTACTGCTCATGCTTCTTGCTTGCACCCGCAGGCGCCACAGTCGGCATGCCAAACCATACCCAAAAATAATTTTGGAGCGTCGAATTTTCGGATCACTCGGGGAGTGTGAACTGCATTCTGGGCTACCGATTGCTCTCCTTCCTACTGCTCATGCTTCTTGCTCGCACCCGCAGGCGCCACAGTCGGCATGCCCAAACCATACCCAAAAGTAATTTTGGAGCGTCGAAAACACCTTTTCGGATCACTCGGAGAGTATGAAGTGCATTCTGGGCCACCGATTGCTCTCCTTCCTACTGCTCATGCTTCTTGCTTGCACTCGCAGGCGCCACAGCCGGCATGCCGAACCATACACAAAAGTACTTTTGGAGCGTCGAAACACTTTTTCGGATCACTCGGCGAGTGTGAACTGCATTCTGGGCTACCGATTGCTCTCCTGCCTACTGCTCATTATTATTTTTTTGCTCCCGCAGGCGCCACAGTCGGCATGCCCAAACCATACCCAAAAGTAATTTTAGAGCGTCGAAAACACCTTTGCGGATCACTCGGAGGCTGTGAACTGCATTCTGGGCCACCGATTGCTCTCCTTCCTGCTGCTCATGCTTCTTGCTTGCACCCGCAGGCGCCACAGTCGGCATGCCAAACCATACCCAAAAGTAATTTTGGAGCGTCGAAAACACCTTTTCGGATCACTCGGGGAGTGTGAACTGCATTCTGGGCCACCGATTGCTCTCCTTCCTACTGCTCATGCTTCTTGCTTGCACCCGCAGGCGCTACATTCGGCATGCCAAACCATACCCAAAAGTAATTTTGCTTTTCGGATCACTCGATGAGTGTGAACTGCATTCTGGGCCACCGATTGCTCTCCTTCCTACTGCTCATGCTTCTTGCTTGCACCCGCAGGCGCCACAGTCGGCATGCCAAACCATACCCAAAAGTAATTTTGGAGCGCCGGAAACACCTTTTCGGATCACTCGGGCAGTGTGAACTGCATTGTGGGCTACCGATTGCTCTCCTTCCTACTGCTCATGCTTCTTGCTTGCACCCGCAGGCGCCACAGTCGGCATGCCAAACCATACCCAAAAGTAATACCCAAAAGTAATTTTGGAGCGTCGAAAACATCTTTTCGGATCAATCGGAGAGTGTGAACTGCATTCTGGGCCACCGATTGCTCTCCTTCCTACTGCTCATGCTTCTTGCTTGCGCCCGCAGGCGCCACAGTCGGCACGCCAAACCATACCCAAAAGTAATTTTGGAGTGTCGAAAACACTTTTTCGGATCACTCGAGGAGTGTGAACTGCATTCTGGGCCACCGAAGTATTGCTTGCTCTCCTTCCTACTGCTCATGCTTCTTGCTTGCACCCGCAGGCGCCACAGTCGGCATGCCAAACCATACCCAAAAGTAATTTTGGAGCGTCGAAAACACCTTTTCAGATCACTCGGCGAGTGTGAACTGCATTCTGGGCCACCGATTGCTCTCCTTCCTACTGCTCATGCTTCTTGCTTGCACCCGCAGGCGCCACAGTCGGCATGCCAAACCATACCCAAAAGTAATTTTGGAGCGTCGAAAACACCTTTTCGGATCACTCGGTGTGAACTGCATTCTGGGCCACCGATTGCTCTCCTTCCTACTGCTCATGCTTCTTGCTTGCACCCGCAGGCGCCACAGTCGGCATGCCAAACCATACGCAAAAGTAATTTTGGAGCGTCGAAAACACCTTTTCGGATCACCCGGGGAGTGTGAACTGCATTCTGGGCTACCGATTGCTCTCCTTCCTGCTGCTCATGCTTCTTGCTTGCACCCGCAGGCGCCACAGCCGGCATGCCAAACCATACCCAAAAGTCTGTTTGGAGCGTCGAAAACACCTTTTCAGACCACTCGGCGAGTGTGAACTGCATTCTGGGCCACCGATTGCTCTCCTTCCTACTGCTCATGTTTCTTGCTTGCACCCGCAGGCGCCACGGGGAGTGTGAACTGCATTCTGGGCCACCGATTGCTCTCCTTCCTACTGCTCATGCTTCTTGCTTGCACCCGCAGGCGCCACAGTCGGCATGCCAAACCATACCCAAAAGTAATTTTGGAGCGTCGAAAACACCTTTTCAGATCATTCGGGGAGTGTGAACTGCATTCTGGGCCACCGAAGTACTGCTTGCTCTCCTTCCTACTGCTCACGCTTCTTGCTTGCGCCCGCAGGCGCCACAGTCGGCGTGCCAAACCATACCCACAAGTAATTTTGGAGCGTCGAAAACATCTTTTCGGATCATTCGGGGAGTGTGAACTGCTTTTTTGGCCACCGAAGTATACTTGCTCAACACGATACCCAAAACGACACCGAAACCACACCCCTGGTATTGCAGCGTTCGCATGGCGCGGGGGGTGGCCCATTCGTTGCAAACGCAAGCGGGCGGGAAAAGAGCTTGTGGACTCAGAGGTGGAGCCATAGCCCAAGTAAAAGGTGCTGCATGGTGCTGCTGTGCTTCAAGTTGTTTATAAGTCTCGCTTGCAGCTACCAAGTCACCGGACAGCAGTCCGGGCTGCGAGGCGCACGCACGCAACGTGTAGCTGGTTTTGGCACATGCCCTGGACTGAGACAATATGGGCAAAATTTTCTGGTTTTGGAGGGCTGTCTGAACGATACTCTGAACGATACCTCAACGACACCCGGAAAGCACAAAAGGCGGGCCACCGCTTACCCATCAATCAGTGGTGGTCAGCGTGCGGGTCCTGCTCCACCTCCGGGCGGTCTGGAACCAGCGTCAAAAAGCATGTCATGGAGCTGGTGGGGAGGCGCAGCATCTACACCCTTCCTGCCTTCCTGCCTTCCTGCCTTCCTGGCTTCCTGCCTTACTGCCTTCCTGCCTTCCTGCCTTCCTGCCTTCCTGCCTTCCTGCCTTCTGCCTTCTTCCCTTGCTCCCTTCCTTCTTCTTCTGCCCTGCCTCCCTTCCTCTTCTGCCCTGCCTCCCTTCCTCTTCCTCCCTTCCTCTTCCTCCCTTCCTCTTCCTCCCTTCCCTTCCACCCTCCTTTTTCCCTTGCCCCATCCTTCCTTGTTCCCTTACTCCCTGGATTCCTTTATCCCTTCCTCCCCATCCTTCTTCCCTTCGTCCTTTCTCTCCTGCTCTCTCTTCCTCCCAGTTTCTCTTCCTCTGCTCTCTTCCTCCATTCTTTCTCTTTCCCCCTTCCACCCTTCCTTGACATAAACACAAGTGTCTGAAACATTGCAGAACGATATAGCGAAGCCCCAAAAACGATAACGTGTTGCTCGAAATCGCCCAAAGTAGTCTTAGGTTTTGCCTCTCGCTCATTTGTTTGTTTGCTTGCTTGCTTGTTTGATTTGTTGCTTTCACACACACACAAAGGCAAGTAAAGGCACGCAAGCGCTGGCAATTAAATACACGCGAACACACACACACACAAGCGCACGCAAACAGAGGCAAACAAACACAAGGCACGCGCACACAAACACAAACACAAACACATGCACAAACACACATGGAAAGCACCACACAAACGCACAAACAAACACAACACACAAACACACTCAAAATCACACGCACAAACACACAAACATACTTACAAACGGTCAAACCCACAAACACGCAAAAAGGACGCCGGCGCAACCACCCAATCTCACAATCACACAGTCACACAATTGTCACAATCACACAATCGCACAAACGCACAAACACACAAACCGGCAAACCCGCAAACAGGCAAACACACAAGTAACACGCACACACACACACACACACACGCATGTCCTGCCCAGATGAGCTACCATTAAACAGTTTGTGCAAGGGGTATGTATCGGAGTGGCCTGGAATACGGTGAGCAACTCGAAAACGGATGGCGACTTTTAAACCGAATCCCAATGTGTTGTTTGCACTCCTATCCTTTTAGGCTCCATGTGCTGTGTGTTTTTAGTTCGGCGTCGGCAATGGCGGCTTTTGCATGGCACGAGCCGGTCTTCACACGAACCCCAAAACAAAGCCTGTTTTCACTAGAATTTGGATTTGTGACCCTCGGCTGAGAGGAGCAATCACAATAGATGAGAAGCAACCGCACTTTCCAGAGTGGATCCAACAAGACAATTAGATGAACAAAAAGAAAGAACTTAAGGACACCAGCCTGTGCATGACCAACATCCCTGTAAAACGAAGGCAGCATTGAAATACGAATTCTGTGGAGATATTCCAGTTTGGAACGCTGCTCGGCGGCTCACATGCCCACCCACTCCCGCACACGCGCGCATGCGCACGCCCATTTGAGTAAATCACTTTCGAGCCTGCCGCCTCAGGTAAACAGCTCGCGGAGAATCGCTGCGCCAGATGCCGCTTCCTCAGCGAGTGCCACCCTAGACAGTTGCTTCAGCGAAAGCAGAGGGTCGAAATCATGGTTGCCCCTGTTCGGGACAGTTAAAGACAGCAGGAATCTGACCAAAACAGGCTCCAAAGATCCCTTAGGGTTTTTGGTACCTCACCCCCAAAAACCTTTTCATAGCAGAAGCGTGAACGACGCCGCGGTTTCCAACGCTGTTGAACATGTGCTACTGTCGAGGGGCTTAGAGCCTGCGTGTCACCATACACACCATCCATGCGTGTACTATTCCGACGCCCATCCCATGCAAGTCGTTCTGATGCTACCCAGTGGGCGTCAGGCGAGGAAGAGACAAACGAGTGCTTGGTGATGGAGTGTAGCCTTGGCGATTTGTGCAAGGATGCTTGCATGCACAGAGGCACCGGGATCACTGGGACCAATTGCCGCCACAAGCCAACTGTCGGTAAGTTGCGTGGACTCCCAACGTGGTAGGAATAACTGGCGGATGCATGCGCTGCCGTATTGGCCAACGAAGCATGAACTGTGAATTGCGCCTGAGGACTTCCGCTGCCCGCAGTTCTCAAGCTGCCACGTCAAGAGTGGCATGGCTGAGACTTAGATAAGCATCCCACATTCGCGCAGATGTCCCTTGACTACAGGCCCAAGCCAATCAGTCGAGATAATGCAATGCAACAAGAGCTTTGACAAACTCGGCAAGAAAACTCACAATATTTCTCAATAGCATCCAGCTGGTCTTGAACTCGATTCCCTGCAACACGTTTGCTGTGCATCCATGTTGTCCGGAGTCGTTGCCCCGGTGTCGCGGTCGGTGCTGTTTTGGTGGTGTCCCCCGTTGGACCTAATCCTACAAACACCTGAAAAGCGAAACAAAGGGCCACTTTTTGACATCTCCTGGCTGCTGGGGCATCTTGGTGCTCCTCGGTTTGATTGCTAGCCTCCTGGCAGATTTCCGTGTGATTGCGTGCCGATCATCCTTCTTTGACACGAAGCATTCATTCCATAGGCTCATAGGCTCATAGGAATCGCCCCACTGTGAGTGCGATACCAAAAGCACGAGCAGCGTTTATTCCAACGCCGTGCCTCCTCTTCAATCTCCTCTCTATCAGACTTTTTGAGTGAAGAATTCATCAATCTCAGCAAGCTTGGCCGTCACCACTATGAGGGTCGCCCAACAATTGACAAATCGTAGGAGCGGCAACCAGCTGGCATGCGCAGCATCATCGCAGAAGCACTCCTCCTTCTGATTTATTGAGTGGTGTCATCTTTGAGGACATCCTGGTGTCCCCATCGTGTTTTGCTGTTATTGATCCGTCCCGGTGGTGTTCCAGTGGCGTTTTGGTTGTTCCCGTGGTGTGTTTGGCGGTGTCCCGGCGGTGTTCCAGTAGGTTTTAAGGTGGTGTCCCGGTGTTATTTTGGCATACTTCGGCGATGTCCCGATAATGTCCTGGTTGTTGGTGTCCTGCAGGTGTTTTCGTTGGTGTCCGATCTGCGTCGGGGTGTATTTGGTGGCGTCCTGGTGGTGTTGTGTCGGTGTCCTAGTTGCTTTTTGGTGGTGTCCTGGTGGTTTCGACAGCGGTAGGAATTTCGAGGCAGACAATGGTGGCTAGTCGTATCGCTACCGGGGTCCATCGCTGGGTTAACTTGCAGCTCCACTCTGAGACACTTCTTAGCTATCAGCCTAACTGCCTCCAAGTGCGCAACACCCCCAAGCCTGTAGTGTGCTCACTGTTGGATGCAACATGTGCGGCACGCTGTGCTCTTTCCTAGTCCAAGAGCGACCCAAATTCCTGTGCACAGCCCAAGGAGTCATAGGGGCAAAGAGCGCTCGTATCGACGTTTCTGCTTTATGCTTTATGCTTTGTGACATATCGCGTGTTGAGAGCACAACCCTGAGAAAGCTGCACGAATGCAAGATTCCAGCCACTGTGATAGGACCCATGTCATCAGGTTAATCCCTTTGCTCAAGATGCCACGTCGGGCGTTTGTTTAACAGAAGGAGACAGACCGAACGCACGTTTTGGCAGTTGGTAGGCGTTTTTGTCTTTGTTGTTTTTCTTTTTTTCACACTTCTTGTCTTACTCAACAGAAAGGTGTACTATATTTATTGACTTGGAACGACTCATGCTCCTCAGGCGTTTGAAACTATGCCTAAAAGTTATGGGACATTCCGGAAGGAAGCCAGCAAGTTTGACAAGCTCAAGGAGGCATGATGCGACCTGTTGAGCACTTTGCCCAGGAAAGGGGGAGCCAGAGCCCTATTGCGCTTGCCGTCCGCTGTGGCGTGAGACGCCAGATGGCTGTGCGCCGCCCATTGACAAAGACTACAGATGTTGCGAATCCGATGGAAAGTCGGAGCCCCGGTCGGATCGCGACCTATTGAACCGGCTCCGAAAGAGTCTGCGGAACTTGAGCAGCGTTCTGAGCCTAGGTATGTTTGGTTTCCCAGGGAGGACCAGAAGTTCCGATGGTTTCCTTATCCAAAGCACGTTTGCCCAAAAGCCGCTGGGCATGCGTGGCATCACGCCGAGCGGCTCGGAAGTGTTTGGCTTGAGCCAGGCGCTAGGCGCAGGCAGGTTTGCATTCCGATGGAGAAATTCATACCCATCCTTCAATGTCTTGCCACAAACATGAATGGAGCATCCAGCTGTGCAAGATCCTTGATGCAGCTTAGCGACCGGATCGTATGCATGCATGATACCAAGGGGGTGCTCGCACCTGGTGTACGGTCTGAACTACCCGTGATGCAGTAGATTTCGTGGTACCTTTGTGGTACCTTAGGAGCGGCCCATTGAGCCAAATGTTCGAGTCAAAAGGGCTCAGAGAAACCAAGGCAAGGCTTTTGAGTGTGAGAGATTCGGAGATGGACTGCCCTCGTGAAATATTGCATAGAGCCAAATTCCGCTGCCAACTTCACAAAATGCTCAGACCGGCCTTACCCCAATGCCGCTGCTTTGCTTGGGCATGCGATGCCGCTGCCGCGGCGGCCTACAACGCACTTGAAGCCAAAGGTGGAAGACGACACCGAGGCGCGTCTTTCTGTGCCCAAATTGAAGAAGCGCCATGCCAGTAAGGAAAGAAGACGGTTCGTTGTTTCGGTAACTTGATGGTGTCACCAAAATCCCCCCAACCAGACAGCAGTAATTCATGAGAGGGCACATTTGCAACACGCTGCAAAACAAGTGTTTGTATTTGTTTCCGGGGGGGACGGCCGTAAAAAAGATTGTTTTCTGGGGTGCACACCCCCTCGCTGTATGGCTTGCCTGTTGGATAACTGACCCATGTGCTGTTCACACGTACACACACACACACCGAGTATTTCGCCATGTTGTCATGCAGCTAGAATAGAGGCGGCCGCACTGGGGCTCTGTGTTTTTCGCGTCCAATGAGCAAATGTCTCTATGTTGGATAGACTTTGGGGTACTGGCACGGGCCTCGTAGCCTCGGATGCCAGCAAAAGCAATGGGCGTGTGTGCTTGTGCCACAAGTCAATGCAGGGGCAACGCCTGTTGCAATATTGTTGGATGCAGGGCTGAGTGTCTTGTCCCAAACGTCGTTGCAAGAGGGAAGGACGGCATAGCTCTCACCTTTCAATGTATAAAGGGAAACCACCCATTTAGGAGCTACCTTTGGAGAGAAACTCAAACTCATGTTGCCCAGGTGGCAAACGGTAAGCCCAGAACGGGCTCAGTCCGCAACCAAAGGGCGCCTGTTGGAACATAGTTGATTTGCTCTCTCCATTTGAGCGGCGGGTTGGCAAGAATCCAACCAAGCTGGCAAAGCTGGGGTCCTTCAATCCTCAACTTCTGCCCCTCAGGCTATTGCTGTAAGCTCCATGCATGGCAAACCCATCCTCAATCGCAGTTTGCCATTGCAGGTGCTGTTGCACGCTGTGGAGCTACTCTGTCAAGCAGAAGCACTTCTCATTTGTACGGGCAGAAACGGTCCTTCAGCAGCACCTCACAGTCACGCAGGCCTGTTGAGTCACATGGAAGCGCAAAAATGTTAAGCGGATGATCGATCAAAAGCACATACTGTCTTGCTTTTATCCTTTGGCCCAAAACGGACCTTGGTTGTGCCTGCAGTTTTGCCCAGCCCAGTTGCTTTGAGAACGGAGGCCTATTCCAGCAGCCTCCGTTGAGCACGACCGCTGGCAGCCTGGAATACGGCATTCCCGGGCAAGGCTCCTGGAGTCCACTTCGCGCGCTGTGGAGGGAGCAGCTCGGAAAATCCGTCGGGAGTCTCCGGGAGTCACAAGCAAAAATAAGACATGGGACAGTTTGCTTTAGAATGCCCATGGGCTTGCCGGGCAGGGAAGAAGGTTTACGAGAGTCATCCACAGGGCATAAGAACAGAATTTCTTTAGCTGGCGACTGGGCTTTGGAGTCAGCGGAACGTTCTGGCTGAGGCACGTGCAATTGGACAATGCTAAATGGTTCGACAGCCACTCGCTCAGCAGCGCTCAACAAGTCCTGAATGGTTGCCAGACTAAAAGGTTCTGAATTGCATTTTCACCAATTGCAATGCTTTCTCCTGAGTAGGTGATCCGTCTCTTGCCTGGGCGTTCTGGGGATTTTGGTGCAAGTGGCACCTGGAGAAGACTCCGAATGCATCTCAGCTGCAAGGCTGCGAGGGCCATGGTCGGGCTCAGCAGGCAGTGCATACAGTGCATACAGTCATGGAACACGAGAGGTGAGCTTTGGGCGCCATAGGCCTCATGAGGCAAAAGTCTTTTGCCGAGGAGCACTATCGCTACTTGTCGGCTTGGGCGCGCTCAAAATCTAAAGGCGCGGCCGGAGAGTCCTCATGTTCGGAGAGTCCTCATGTTCGGTATTTGATGTTCTGCTTGTTCTTGATTTGTTGAAATCGCAAAAACTGCGAGGATACTTCTGCGTCACAGATGAGATCTCGGGCCACTGGGCTCGCACGCTCGGGGAGCAGAAGGTTTGGGAGACCCATGGCTCGGTCTCCCACCTGCACCTTGGTGAGTTTGAGCCGCGCTTGTCTTCCACGACGTTAGGCTGCAGAGGCCAAGTTATCAAAGGATGCGGCTTGAAAGGTGAACTATAGCAACTACAGCGAATGGGGACAGCTGATCATGCGCGTGCACATAAACCCAACATACCCCAACCTCCGTCTCAGAGATCTTGCCTTCCTTGTCTGCCTTCCGTCATATGGCTGTGGCTCAAAACCATGTACCAAAATGGCACCTTGGTAAATGGAACCAGCGACTAAAACCTGCGTAACCCTGGCTCTTGAATTTTGAGCCGCACCCATATGTTTCATCGCAGAATTTGCTCAACAGATGGGTAAGCAAGCGCAGTAGGGTATATATGTTGATATGCTTGTTTTTGTTCTTGTCCCGCTTCAACTTGCAGAGACCCCAGCAAACCATGCAGGTCAGAGCTCTGCGAGGAAAGCGCACAAGCAAAGACAGGTTGCCCGCCAGAACATATGTACATGCACAAACATGTACACACACACACACACCAAGCAGTCGCAAAGTTACACAAGATCCGAATCAAGTAGTGCGCTGTTCGCCGCACTTTTCAGGGGCGACGGATGTATTGTGCGCAGCTCAATCGCCATGTTGATTGCATTGCATGATGTCTGTGGTTGTAACGAGCGTTGTCTGCAGTTTGTTGCTTGGCAGATATTTGAATGGTGTAAGGCAGCGGGTTGATGGACTGGACAAAGTGTGGCGAGTGGGTGAATCCCAGATGTCTCTTGCAACGGAAAAACTATTTGCTGGGATCAACGCAGGTGTGACTGCGACTTGGCAAGAAGTGCTCAAATGAGCCACAATCAAAATCCGGGTAAGTGAAGGTTAGTAAGGGATACTCCCAGCCAGAAATAGCTGCGGCCGCCTTCTTAGTTCTTTAATGTCCAATGTGGATTAGTAAACGGGAGCCCCCCCCCTCAACGATGGGGGCATGGGGAATAGTATCTTGAGGTGAGTTTCCATTAGATTTAGTATTGGTAGACTTGAGTTTCCATTTGATTTAGTATTGCTGGAGCTTCCTTTTCAGATTTGGAACTGAGTTTGCATTTGATTTAGTATTGCTGGAGCTTCCTTTTCAGATTTGGAACTGAGTTTCCATTTGATTTAGTATTGGTAGACTTGAGTTTCCATTTGATTTAGTATTGCTGGAGCTTCCTTTTCAGATTTGGAACTGAGTTTGCATTTGATTTCGTATTGCTGGAGCTTCCTTTTCAGATTTGGAACTGAGTTTGCATTTGACTTTATTGTAAGGGCCCCTGGAATAAAGTCTTGGGCTTAAAATTTGGGGGCTTGAAGTACTACCCCCTTTGTGGGTTTGATGGTGGGCAGTTTTTAAACAAGAGACATGTAAGAAAACTTGAGTTTGGGCAAGGTCTGCAGTTTGGATTTTGGGGAGAAAGCAACAAGCTTCACCAGCATCAGCATCAGCATCAGCTGGGATTGTGTGTGAAGTTGGCTAGGTTGTTAGCCAAGAGGTAACTGCATGTAGGAAGTTGCATTTTTCAGGGGGGGACCATGCAGCAAGACTTTATTATAGGGGCCCCTGGAATAAAGTCTTGGGCTTAAAATTTGGGGGCTTGAAGTACTACCCCCTTTGTGGGTTTGATGGTGGGCTGTTTTTAAGCAAGAGACATGTAAGAAAACTTGAGTTTGGGCAAGGTCTGCAGTTTGGTTTTTTTGGGAGAAAGCATGAAGCTTCACCAGCATCACCTGGGATTGAAGTTGGCTAGGTAGTTAGCCAAGAGGTGACTTTTTGGGGGACTTTTTTTGAGGGATTTTTTTGTTCATGGGTGGGGGGGGGGGGGGCAGGGGCTTGTCTTTAATTCAGGTGCATTTACTAATTATTTTGGGCCCCGAGAAGTCTTTATTACGCGTGCATTGCTTAATCCCATTTGGACATTACATGGTTCTGGGTAGACCATGTTAATACCGGGTTTTGTATATGACCCAAATGCCCAGCTTCAGCTGCACGTGATTTCACGTGCCTCGTGTTGCTGCCCGCCAAGGGCCTGCGACAAAGCTTCTCAGCAGTCGCTTCTGCCTTCACGTTCTACCCGGAGTCCGAGACCCCAAAGCAGGCAGAGAAGGAGCAAACTGTTGCCAGCAGTCTTCTGGAAGCCGGCGATGAGGGCTTGCAAGATCTGCAAGAAGACATGCTCCGGCTGCAGGGAAACATTTTTGGCTTTGCTCCTGCTCCCACACCGAGCGAACCAGAGATTCCGATCCCGAAGCGCAGCCAGAAGAGCGTCGTGCGTCCAAGAAGTCCACAGAAGGTTCCCACTCTAAACATCAAGCTGCCTCCGGTATGGGATTTGCAACAGGGACAGGCAAGCGGCAAAAGTCGGTTCAACGTTCGATGTGACTTGCCTTGCTGTTGTTTTTTCTCGGCATCCAGCAGACTTTGTCTTCCATGCAGGCTGTCGAAGTGCGAACAAATGATCCAGTGGAGAACAGCAGCCAGTACAAGTGGTCAGCATGGCGGCGAGCAGTTGCCTGGCAAATGGTGGCATGTGCTTGTTCAACACGTGCTGCCTCGAGGTGTCCGTTCTCTAGGGACCATAAATGGTAAGGGCTCCCCTTTGGTTTCCCCTCCAACACTACCCCAAAGGAGGTCCCGCTGAATTTGGCATGACGTCATACCCTATTATACCCTTTCAATGGCTGGCTGAGGTTTTGAACCTTCTCAAGTGGGGCCATGTTGATTTTCAGCATACCTCTTTGAGTCAAGTCGCTCCGAACAACTTCCTTTTGTTCTTCGGAGGTGGTGGAGGAAGGCTTCAGCATCGCTTCCGGCGAAAGAGGCGCGGGCCGCCCCGTGCGCGCCCACGCCGTGCGCCGGCCGGGCGGCGTGGACTTCCTGCGGGTGGGGGGTGACCTGCCGAGGCCAAGTGGGCCGGGGGGCGCCTGGGCCGTGTGACGGATGGGTTCCTTAAAAAGTGGCTTCACTGCTGAAAAAGAAGGGGGGAAAAACCCAGTTTGTATCAGACAAGCTTGACAAACTCTGCCTAAAAACCCTATTGGCCAATTTGGTCAAGGCCTCGTTCAGCAACAAACTGCGTGTTTCACAAAAAAACAGCTGAGCCACTGCCTTCGGCTGGCTTTTCGTGCTCCGTTTGTTCCTTGAAAAACATCAATAAATGGGTTTTGAAATGGAACCAAAATGAAATCGAAGAGGGATCGGGGGATCCCTAGTTTTGACGCATACCCAACAGTCAGAAATCCGGCGTCATTGGGATATACTGGGATCGACATGGCAGCTGACTCAGTGCAACAGGGCTGAGCAGTTGGAAAGATCTCCTCTCCCTCTCCTCCTCTCCTCCTCTCCTCCCCTCCCCTCCCCCTCCCCCTCCCCCTCCCCTCCCCTCCCCTCTATGTTTTTTCCATTATCTTGGCTCCGCAGTCTGCATGCCTCAGAGACGCAGGTTCTCGCAGTCCGGCCACACATGCAGTCCCGCCTTGCTCGCTGCAGGGATCCGGAGGATTCCTCAGCCTTGGCGCGGCCCAATGTTGACATGCACAGCGACTCCAAGTTCAGCACCTGCCGGTGTGACAGGCGGCTCTTCAGCTTTGCATCTCAACATTGAGCTACCAGAAAATCTGGATTCCGACATATTCCGACTTGAACTTCCTTCACGGGCTCTGTCAGCAATGAAATTGCAACAAATGAGAAGGGTCGCACACTCAGCTCTTAGAAGTTACCTTCCAACACATGAACGGAGTGAGAAATTGCAAGCAGGAATCAACGGACGCATCCAGACCTTACTTCTCGTCAATATGTTCTTCCTGTATGATAATTTGGGATATGGGCTATCATGTCTATCACGTGGTTGACACGGTCACCGATCATGATTCAAGATTATGATCATACTAGTTTACACATGCATACCATTGTGGTTTTGATCTTCGGCCGTGCAATGAAGGCAAGAGAAGGCCTTCTACGAATGGCGGAATTCGCTGCCGGCAGATTGCCGGCTTGTTCTGCTGGAGGCTCCCTGCCGTGAACAGAGCGCAAATTCGATGTCGGCCGATCTGTCAAGGGCTGTTCTCATCTACCTAATATGGCCCATAATAAAATTCGGTTCCAGTACATGCTCCACGTATGAGCACCTCCACTAATCCACCTGAAAATGCTCTCATACATGGCCCGCAGGGAGTATGGTTTCCCAGTGAATTAAGACGATAGCTTAAATTGGCCGAGGTTGGGCTGGAGAGTGCCTCCCGTGACATGCTCCAAGTGCAGAGGGCAGCCAACGAGTTTCCGCACTGCAGCCTCATCCGAATCTTGCAAGGGTTCAGTCGCAGGGGTTCAAGGCTAATGTTATTCACGGAGAAGGAATGGTGTTCTCATTATGTTTGATTGAAGAGTTGGTTGGCCGAATCTTTACAGAGATTTCGACACTACGATCGCAAGCGTCCTGCAATACTGTCAACAATACTGTAATACTGTGCATGGCACATATTGCTCATTGGAAAACTACCATGCGGCACTAAGTGTTAAATGGAAAGACAGCCGTTGGATGTGAGCAACCAGCCAGCGAACCAACCATGATTTTAGGCGGTCGCACTTCATCCATGCAGAGTTGCGATGCCAATCAATTGCATGAGGGTGCATGTATTACCACACCTGAGGGATGTGGCCTTCACTTTGGTACATCTTGGTGCAGAGCTTGATGTGTGTCCGTGTCGCTGCTATCTTCTTTGTACCCCCTGAGCTTTGTTTGTGTCATTGATATCTCTAGTGAGCATACCATGTCCGCAAACGCCTGAGGACTCGGTGCTCGCAGGAGCGTTTCGCACCAGTGGAAGGGCCGGTGTTGGCATCTCAGCGGCCCCTGCGAGGAAGTGCTGAGCCGCCTGGCAGAGGCGCTGGGAGACGCGCCAGAGGCGGGGGAAACGCGCCAAAATGGCAAGGCGCAAGTTTCAAGCCAAGCCTTTGAGTCAGAAGTATAAATATGAAGGCAATATGAATGAGGGGATTCTGCCATCAAGAATTGGGTGAGCTGAGTTGCGTTGGCCCATTCCCATAGGAGGTGTCTGCGGTTACGAGCAGTGAAGGGAGGGAGCAAGTGGCGCCCTTGGAGCCGACGGAGCCGACGGAGCAGGCAGCTGACAACCCAACTGTCGAGAGGAGTCAGAGTCAAAGAGGTTCTGCGGCCTCAGGCAAAGCTTCCAAGGCCGATGTCAAATCTGAAGCTGATGCAGCTGATGGCTTGGTTCACTGGGATGAAATACCAGAATCAGAGGTCAAAGAGGAGGATGCGCTAAACCAATTGTCTGCCTTTGCGGCAGGCGTGTATGCCAGCACAGCTGCAGCACTTGACCCAGAATCAGGGAGCGAGGAGAGCGAGCTCAAAGCTGCAGGCGACGGTGCAGATGCTGCAAGTGACGAGGGTTGACAAGGCCAAAAAGCAGACGACTCATGTACTGCCGCGCCAGTCCTGTGGCTGAAGCTTGGAGCTCAGGGAGCAACATTGGCCTGGGTTATGCTGACGGAGGCATGCCCGGGGCTCGAGAACGATTCAACTGACCCGGTAATGTGATGGGAAGGTAAGTCAAAGCTCAACAAGCTTGCCACAAATGGTGAGTGACAGCTGAGAGGAGAGGGGAAAAGAAACCTGAAGTTTGAGCACACAGAGCTGATCTTTCTGCTTTGGGCTTTTTGCTACAGCTTCCGGGACAACAAACTCCGATACGGGTGGTTACAAGGGAAATGCGACATGCACGAGACGCGAATACAAGGAAGGCAACGCATCCACTCCAAGCGCCAGAAAGCAAGGTGCAGTCATCAGTAGGGATGATTATTTACTTGTTCAGTGCATCAAGTTGCAGTATATGTAATGTTGTGTTTTTTTGAGCTGTGCAGTTGCATGGAACCATGTGCAAGCAGACAGGCGAGTCAAAAAAGCAGTGTGTGTTTGCGTGACTTGAGCTTGTGCATTTCTGCAACTGAGTGTTGGTATGGGCATTGCTTGTGCCCAGGGCCGGCTCCCTGCAAGGTCGGCAGTTTGTTCCGTGCCGCAAGTTTCCTGACCCAAGCTTGGTTCCGAGTCGAACAGACATGAGCGCTTGGCAGTGGCAGGAGTGGCAGGAGTGGGGGGAGTGGGTGGAGTGGGAGGCACCCCGGGAGCATCCCCGTGACTTCAAGCCTTGCTGCGTTGAGAGCAACCCCTGGAGCTACCCAGCAGAAGCACCAGAGCCGCTTTCAGACTCCAAGGGTTGCGAAGATGAAGATCTCTGCTGCTACATCTCTTTGGCCTCCGCCTCCGAGCCGGAAACCGTCCTGGGCCTGGGCGTGTTTGCTCATCGGAGGACCCTGCGGCAGCTGCGCCGAGGGCTCCCTCCCGACATCTCCTTCACCACGGACTACGTGGACGTCGAGGCCTTTAACGAGGGGCTCCGCGTGGCTCAATCCAGGCCCCGCAGATCCACAGCTCTGGTCACCTCCTCCCGAGGCGAGCTGAACGCATGGTTGCCTTTGTATATCCATGCATCCCACTGGGCGCGTTCCAGGCAGTACATCGGGCCTGCTTTTCAAAGTCTTTTGGGTCCCGGACAGCTTGGGCAGCTGAGTGCTTCAGATGCCCTGAATGTGTGCTGCTCCTTGTTGACTCACGCAGCAACTGATCTTAGTCTTGGGGCCAAAGTGACCGAACGGGCTGTGCAAATGTATGCAGATGTCCACCGACTGCTGCTGCAACTGGCATACGAGTGGCCTGAGCTGAAGCAAGCAGCTGCAGATCGGGTCCACACCTTCCTATCTGAGCCGGCCAAGCGTGTGCGCCGCAGCACTCACAGTATGGGCGACCTGGCGCATTGCCTCCTGGTGGTGGACGACGTGGACTGGAAGCACCTGGAGTCCGCTGCCATCCCAGAAGCCCTACGCCGGCACGTGTGGCGTCGGGAGTGCGAAGGACTACTCTTCGATGAAGGCAGCTTCGACGGCTCGGCCTCTAGCTTGCTCAAGGAGTGGGAGAACTTCGCCCCAAATGCGTGCAAGGTACTTTGCTTCATCACCTTCTACATTCGGGAGTTTGGGAAGCCAACAGGCAGCTCACTGGAGGATGTCATGGTGGAAATGGATGGTCGCTGGGGACGCCTGTCACCGGCATCTCACTGCAAGATCGCCTCCTTCTGCAACTCGTTGCATCAGCAAGCGACCCTGCGGGGGATCCTCGAGCTGATGCAGGCCTCCTACATCGAGGAGGGGGGGGGGAATGTTGGCCAATCGAGTTTTTCATTGGTTTGATGAGTTTGGTCTTTGGCACGTCTTGACCTTTGGACGAAGGAGTACCTAGCCGAGACAGTGCTCTGGGCCGTGCGTCACGGTAGCCGACGTGCTGGGCGCGCCAACTGGAGGAGGGGCTGCGGACCAAGAAGAGAAGCCACCCCGCAGCTCGCGCCCGCGGATAGTTGCCCCTTGCTGAGGTCCCTGCAAGGTGCGCGCGGAGTGCACAAAAGCTGCGCCAATCGAACCATGCAATGGAGGCCCAAGAAAGCCTGCACGGAAATGGAAGAGGAGTGTGAAGGTGTACAGACTTGGACCGTGCAGCCTGTACATTGGGGGATTCCCTGGTACGTGCCCCCTATGTTCGTATTCGCAATGCCATGGCAAGGTTGGTGGTTTCCATAGCCAGGAAAATCTGAGAGCCACGTGTGTATGGGACTGTTTGTGTTGTGTGCTTCTTGATGTGTTTGAGCTAAAAGCTACACTCTTATTTTGTTTGTGTTCTGCTGCTCGTGCTGTGCTGAAAGCTAGAAAGTTGTCCTACGCGGCATGCGCCATTCCTATCCATCGGCGTGGTGTATGTACAGGATGCCGGGTCTCACTCCCCCTAGCACTCCGGTACAGTGGAGCAGTAATGATGGAAAAAATAATCTGATCATTTCATTGCCACTCAAATGTTGGCCAGCACGTTAAGTCGTGTGTGTTTGTGTTTGTGATTGTGATTGTGTGTATACAGTTCCATGGCTTCAAGATGCGTTCCTGCTTGAGGAGTGTGGCTCACAGGTGTCCAAAGAAGTGATGATTTCTTGAGTCAAGGTGACACCACGCTTTTGCTGAGTGCATGAACGTATGTACACGCAGAAATACCACCTGAATTTCAGGGAAGCTTCTCCCCTGTTGCCTCAAAGATAGGAGACTGTACCAGAGATGCAGATGTATGCCAAAAGCCAAGCTATCAGCATCAGCTTTCCAGGCGTCAAGACTGGATGCTTTCTGGAGTGCCTCCGCCATGGCAGGTACTAAAAAGAAAGCCGTGGTAACCCCAAAACGGCCAAAGAAGAAGCGAGAGAAGAAGCGGGACACAGAAAGCCCCTCTGAGGAGCGCCGGATTGTGACCGTGGGCTTTGACGACAACCAATACACGGGCTATTTGCACACCAACAGCCTCGCACAGCGCTACCTTGAAGGCGCCGACTCCAAATACACCTGGCAGAGCGGTGCCAAGTATGAAGGCCCCTTCCTGCACAGTGAGATTCAGGGTCAGGGCAAGTACACTTGGCCAGATGGCTCCACATACCAGGGGGACCTTCACAACGGCAAGCGCCATGGCTTCGGCGTGTTTGTTGCTGCAGACGGGGTCACCAAATACGAGGGTCAGTGGTCGGAGGGCAAGCGCCATGGCGCAGGGCGCCTGGTCTACGATGCGGACGGGAACTCCTTCTACCAGGGTCAGTGGTTCGAGGGTTGCAAGCACGGCAAGGGCCGCCAGGTCTGGCCCAGCAAGAACACCTACGAGGGCGAATGGCAGGAGGGCCGCATGCACGGCTTTGGGACCATGACCTGGTGTGAGAATGCGCAAATTGAGGTGTACACAGGCGAATGGGCGCAGAACCTGCCCCAAGGCCAGGGGAAGTACATCTGGCACGCGCCAGATTGCGTGCAGGGCAAGGAAATGCCAGTGCAGCAGACCAATAACAGCTTTAAGGGCTCCTGGTCACAGGGTCTTCGGTCAGGCTATGGGAAATTTCAGTTTGCCAACGGGGCGAAGTATGAAGGCCAGTGGACTGACAACATCAAACATGGGGAAGGACGCTACACCTTCGAAGACGGCCGCGTTTATGTGGGCGAGTTTGTTTCAGATAATATGGCAACGCCCAGCAGCCCCGAGGCTGAGGCGACAAGTCAGGCGTTGAACCTGGGCGGAGCTGACAACCCTGTCCGCAGGTGTGTTGACGTAGGTGACTTGGCTGGATTCTGCCTTCCGAAGGACCGGCCCGTGACGGATCCCACGGAGTTAACGGGCTACTCAGAGCCTGCGGATGTTTTTCGGGAGATCTACAACGTGCTGCTGCGCCATTTGGGGGACCTGAAGAAGGTCTACGCGAGAGTCCGCCGCGTGGTCCAATCAGACGGGGACCCATGGCTCGTCTACACCTATCAGTGGTGGATCCTGCTGCGAGAGGTGAGTGACGGACAAATAGTTGCTTTTTTGTCAGCTTGGGGAGGCCAATATTAGGGTAAACCAAAACCAGAAGGGCGGGAGGATGGGACGACAGTTTTGTTTGTTATATTGTATTATATAGTTGTTTTCACCACACAACTACCACTAAGAGGTTTCGTATTGACAAGGGACACATATTGAAGGGTAAAAACCCCAAAAAGTGAAGGAGAGTCTTCAACACGAATCCTTACTGTGCATGTGTCGGCCTTTGCAAGGCGCGAGTGGGTGTTGAAACGAAGGCCAGACGAAGCCTAAACAAAGCCCTGTTTCACGAAAAAAAGTGTTGTGAATATTGTCTCTTTTTAATTACGATAGATGAGAAGTAACCGGAAGACTGGGGGAAGACTACAGGAAGACTACGGGAAGATTCTGAGAAGATTACGGAAAAGACTACAAGATTACATGACCGAAAACCCTCAACAACGAAGGCGAGTCTTTAAAACGTCAGGATTTCAAGATATTCCAGTTTGACATAAGGGTTTTGGCGGCGGCTCACAATATGTCATATATCTATGGAACAGTGCGAAAACCGCGCACAGCTCCAAATGCCTGGTTGCCTGGTGGTTTCCCTTGAGAATGTTCCCCGGTGTTTCAAAAGATACAAGGCAACACGCGATGCGTGTGATGTAGATGCCCACGGGCCACTTGGGCCACTTCACACGTCAGGTGAACCTCCTGGCGCCGGACTGCTTCTTGGCGCGCGCGGATCGACGGGTGAGGTGTGGGCCGCGGCAGCACGGAGAGGCCTTCTACGAAGATATGCCGGAGCTCAGGCCGCTAACCCCCAGGCAAGCTGGTTGTGGGCAGGATTGGGGCACCGTTTTTGGCAGAAATGGTTAAACTATGTGATTCCCCAATGGGTTTCCTAGTTTGAACAATGGAACCTTTTCTTTCACGCTTCTAATGGGAAACCAAAATAGAAGAGGCCAACCACCTGTTTGCGAAAATACACTAATATGTGTTCTGGACAAACGGCTTGATTGCTGGGTTTGAGGGAAACACCATACATGTGTGCGCAAATACTTGTAATCACACAAGTCGATACAGGTGAATGTATATACAAAGATTCTGCGTGCACATGTGAAGGGGCAGTGAAGGTCCATGCGCGAAACTACTTGCGGCTTGCAGGCCAGTCCATGCGCCACCATCCCATGGAGAGCGCGGCTCTTTGCACGGGGCTTGGATTCATTTTGGCCGGGGGAAAGCAACGCTTCCCTGTAAAGCGTGGGACTTGCTGAGGTCAAGAAAGGCATCGAGAGATGGGGATCAAGGCGCACGGAAGCTTCCCAGTGAGCCCAGTGCCCGTTGCGCGCCTTCTGTCAGGGCTAACCCACGAGCAGGCCAGGTGTTTGGCTGATTGAAGATGTGAGTCGCGCGGTGCCTTCTTGATCTTGGTGTTTGGACGTGAGTAGTGCTGACTGCTGAAAGCATGATTCAAAGGAACAAGAAAGGATAATGTTTTTGTGCGGGCGTGTTTTTCGCGTGTATGAGATTGTATACAGCATGCAGCAAGTGACCCACTCTTTGTTGGTTGTAGTTGTCAAATTCTCCAAATATCATGGTTTTTGAAACTGTATAGATCAGATTAAGATTGATTGCTGTCCATTCCACTGTCTGCCAGGAACCCCTGCTCGAGGAGGATGAAGATGAAGACGTTGGTGACGACGAGGCTTCAGTTGGCATGTGCTTGGGCATGGCTTTGATTTGAAAGCTCACAGGATGAGGAGCTGGAAGAAGAAGAGGGCGAGGCCGAGACTGAGGCTGTCGAGGCTGATGCCGCAGCTGAAGACGAAGCAGAAGCTGACAAGAAAAGCTGCACTAGTCGGCACAGCCGGAACAGCCGCCAGAGCAGGATGAGCTTTGCTAGAGGCGCCATTGACACAGAGAGAGAGAGAGCGAGGGCTGCGAGCCTATGAATGACCGGCAGTCTCAAGCCACGGGATCAGTTGGATGTGTGCCAGCAGTGTTACCTGGCGCCGGCATGCGCAGGTCGTGATGCGCAGGCATGGCCAGCAAATCGGCCTTGCAAGTTCGTTCGCGTCCAGAGCAAGGAGTACATCCGTCATTTCTTCGACATTTGCATGATCAAGTCTGGTTTTTATCCAGGCAGTGGTGGGCTTCAATTTGTTCCCAGCCGTTCTAACGCAGGTCATGATGGCACCCCGCCGCGCCACCAATGCACACTAAAACAGCAATTGAACTCCGGAAGTAACCCCAAAATCCCGGACAAAAGTAAAACACATTTCCCGGAAGCGTTGCAGCATTCGGAGCCTGGCCAGGGCAGTCGCCGCCCTACCCTCCAATCTCTTGGCAGGCGTGAGTCAGGTTTGTTCTTCGAGGGGTGTCGCGGATCGATCGAGGCAGACCTCCTCCATCGGCCCCATCGACTTCTTCTTCGAGCAGAACAAGTGGGGCGCCAGTCTGCTTTCGCACGAGATACTCGAAGGTCACCGTGTCAATGTGATTCAAGAGGATTCTCAATTCTCCTCGTTGGCTTTCCCTAGGTTTTGGAGACTTGAAGATTCCGAAGCAGCTGCGAAGCTTGTGGACGTTTGACACTCGAGTAGAGTCTGAGCAAAATGAGGTAGTGACCCAGTGTGCAAGTACACTTTGCTTTGTAGCACTCCTCGAGCGTGGAGCTGACCATGACATTGACCAGGTTCACTCGCCGAGAGCGTCTTTGATGCTGCTGGCTGAATATCTTTGGAGATTTTGTCTTCTCAAGTCTCTAGTCTTCTGCTTGAGTGGCTTCAGGTTCCGACACTTTCTGGAAGCCCTGGTGCGGATAGCTCCTGTAGCATATCCGGAGCACCAGGCTTGGACATTGGATGTGGGCCCGTGGGAATGTCCAAAAGGTTGGCCTTTCACAAAGCAAGCGTTGACTTTGGGCCCTGAGAGATCAGCCAATCACTCAACTTGTTTGTTCTCGGTGGGGTTAACCCTCACCCAACCCTTCCGTATAGGAATCCATCTATTGTTGGATGGAGGGGGGTCATTTCCATATTCCCTACTACAAAGAAGCAAGTCCAGGTTGTGCACATTGCTCGCTGAACTCTGTGTTCAGGGCCTGGAGTCGATGCTCAAGGCATTGCTCCGAGAGCGAATTCTTCCCCAGGCGCCAGACAAATGCCTGAGTCAGCCGTGGAAGTAGCGCATGCGGTTTGTGCATTTCAGTGAAACCCCTGCAACCTTTAGAAGGGGAGAAGGGGGGCGAGAGAGAAAGCGAGAAAGAAACAACAACAGGAAGACACGGAAGGGAAAAGGACAGGAAAGAAAAGGAAAAGGAGCGAAAAATGAAGGACAGGAAAAAAAGGAGGGAAGAAAGGGAGAGGAAAGGAAAGGAAACGACATGAACATACAGAAAGAAAGAAGGAAAGAACGAAGGAAGAGGGAAAGGAATGAAAAGGCAAAAGAAAAGAAAAGCAAGGGAACAATTCAAAGAAAGAAATGGAGAAGGAGAGGGACGTGTGCAAAACTGCAGGTTGATGCGCCCTTTGACCTGGACTCCTGTCGAAGCTTTGCTGAAGACAAGTGGAGAGTTGGTTCAACGGCAGTCGAGTTCGCAGCCTTGGCGTTGGTGTGATTTGTTGGGTTCAGCAAGGGCCATGCGATGCTAAGCCGAAGCCCGCATTGGACAACTTAAATCCACTCCCTGGTTTGGCAGGTTGCAGCAAAGCTATACGAACCCCGTCTTTGTTTTGGGCACTTGCCGCCAAGCTCCTGGGCCACTGCCTAGGAGTTTTTGAGCTGCTTGCGGACAGAAACGTGGTCCAGGCTGGCATGAAGCGCTACAGTCAGGTGACACAAGGCCACCGGGCATGGCTTATGCACTGCAATGACTTGCTGCGCCGGGATTGAAAGTGGTGCCGTACGTCACTGGAGCGCCGCTTGACATCCTGAAGAAACAACAGAGGGATGGGAAGGGGCGTCAGGTCTTAGACAACTTCAAGCCCAAGCTTTGGGAGCTCTTCAAGGAAAATGCTGCAGGAGAGACGAAAGGCAATCGCTCGATGGGCTGGGTAGATTCCTTTCGAAGCTGAAAGGGAGCCTTTCGGACTAGAAGATCTTTGCAGCCTGCGTTGTCACTCCCACCGTTCCGCTGTGTCAATGTTCAAGAACATGCAGTTCAAGGCCACTGTTGATGCCTGACACTGCAGAGGTACTTTTTTCTAACTGAGGAATCATTCTGGGCAATGCTATATTTTCCTTTTGCAACCAAAGGGTTGCTCCGCAGCAGCCGAGCATGACATGGAAGCAACCCAGCAACCATGGAAGCTGATAGGTGGTGTGGAGGATGGAGTGAGAAGCATGATGCGGGCTGTGTGCAGCCGTTCTGGGATTTACGTGGTATTGCTTCTCCTCGCTGGTGTTCTCAGTGATGAGTCAAAAGCAACAACGTCGGTACGTTTATTGCTCTCGCGCGGCAGGAGTGGGTGTCTATGCGCTACCTCAATGGGCCAGCAACCTGAGATGTGGTGCGTGATCACACTTGGGTAAGACACGCCACGTCCCACGTGACGGATTGTTGCTGATATACATCTTGCAGTGGATCATAGTACCGGGAATGAAAGGGTTTCCTGGCTCGCTGGCCGTGGCGTTCTCAGGCCCAGCTGCTTGATTTCGAAGAAAGCGAAGGCTGGATGTGTGCATTGAGTGAGGCAGGGTTATGTTAATCTGAATGTCCATCCGGCGCATTTTGATGGTCATGCTCCCCTTTAAGACGGTTCAAGTCTCAAGGGGCAGGCAGGCGCAGCTTGAGCCAGAGCCACTAGGCGCAAAGCCGTACAAGAGGCACTTTGCTCGCAGGAGCCTCAGTACAGCAGTTACAGAGGCACAAGCTCAAGTTCTTAGATTGTAGCCTCCGGCGAGTACGGATATTTTGTGATTGTTTCATGTTTGTTGAAGAGGGTATTTGCTTCAATCGGATGCTGAGGTCATTTCGGTGGGCTACAGCGCCGTGCAACCCAGCCGACATTGCGGCGCTACTCTTGTCGCGGGCACAGCAGATGCCAGGTACACGTGCAGGCCCGCATGGATGTCACCATTCGGGTCAAGGACATTGCTGTGTTTGACGTATGGAAGCTTTGCCAGTCCCGAATGAAGGTCAAACATTACAGGAGCGAGAAAGCTGAACTGTGACGAGCCCCCAGGAAATATTTGAGGATGAGTTGTAGTCTGCAAAGATGTCATGTTGAGCGGAGAAGGGCAACATGTCTCAACTATAATGTGGAAGCTTTCCTAATTCTGTTGCTCTTGACTCAAGCTCGCAAGCCGCGCTACAGAATCGCCCATTGTGTTGTGCAAAGCTGGCCTGGTGATGGCTTTACTCCAAAGAAGTAGACAGTAATTGTCTTAAGAGAACATGCAACGCCTGCACAGCTGCAAAACAGTCCTGGGCAGTGCAAGTAGGTGCAAGTGGCTCGTGCAACACATTGCAAGGCCTGCAGACCAGGTAGTCGTTCACCCCAAATCCATAGACTCATCTCTGGCAGTTGCTGTGCATTGATTTGTCGTGTATGTTAGCCATGAGCCATCGCTGGGCTGCGGGCATTTTGTGCTTGGTCCTAGGGATCACAGCCTTTTGTGGAATTCCACAGCGCCTTGAGCGGCGTTCGCGAGTTCTGCGCCGTGCGGACTCGGACCGTACGGACTACTGGAGCTTGCTGGGCGTGGAGCCGGGAGCCAGCGTCAAAGAGGTGAAGCGAGTTTTCCGCCAGCGGGCGAAGAAGGAGCACCCGGATGTCAACAAGAGCCCAGACGCTTTACAGCGCTGGCGCACCATTTCTGATGCCTACGGGAAGCTTATTGACCCCGCATATCGGCGCCAGTGGGAGCAATCCCATGCTCAAGCTTCATCATTTTCATCCAGATCTCAAAGGCCCCGCTCCTCTCAAGCCTCCAGCTCTCGGGCTGGGCCAAGCCCCCAGGACTTCAACGACTTTGGGAACTTTGGCTCCGACGCGTCCTTTGGCAAGCGTCGGGACTGGGCGGCGGCGAGCGTGGACGCCTTCCGCGATTTGCTGCGCCGCGCCGAGCGCCTGAGCAAATCGTCACTGGGCTCCTTCAGCGTGCCGAACGTGCGCCGCGGCTTCGACGACGTCCTCCGTGGCCGTGCGAGTCGGGGCTCCTCCATGGCGGCCCGGGAGGCGCGGGCGGCGGAGCTGGAGCTACAGCAGGTCCGAGACAAAGTCGCGCGGCTGCGCACGGACGCGGCACTGTGCCTGGAGCTCTCCGACAAGTTTCGGCAGACCGGGCAGAAGCAGAAGGAATTGGAGGCTGGCAAGAGGACACTGAATGCTCATGGCAAATATGATAAATTGATGTTTCTACAATTGCCCCTTGTGCCAAGCCTTGTGCAAGGGTATGTTAAAGTGCAAAGTGCTTAGTTTGCGTCGTGCGTCAGACTGAATACGGCCTTGGCAGGACTTTGCAGCTGCGTGCAGATTTGAAGAAAGCCCGTTCTAGGGCTCGCGCGCTCTCGGAGCAGGTTGAGTACTGGAGAGACCTTGAAGCATCAGAATTCGCACCAGTGTGAAAAGTGGAATGTGCCAGTGGGTTGGGGCAGAAGCTGACGATGAGACACTGCCTCCTCCAAAGTTTTCTTTACAAGTTCCCACTGACTGCAGTTGCAGTCCCCATTTTGCTTGAAGAAACTGCAGCACAGCCTTGCCGACAGCAGGACGCTTTGCACATTCTGAAGCATGCAGACCTGCTGCAATTGGGGGACATCCAGCCTGGGCCCTGGTGATCAATCCGTTAGTGCGTTGCTTTCAATGGTCAATTGTTTGAGGTCCATATGCGTTTTAATTTTTAGGGTATATTGCATGGTGGCTGGTAAAGGCTCAATTGGTTGCCGCCCAGGCCCTTCCTCGAGAATCCCACAGACAGCATGTTCCCTGATCCCAAGCCGGAGGATCCGCCGCAGTCCAGCTGGCCTGTGTTGCACTTCTGGAATTGGGGACTTGTGCGCCAACAAAATCAGCACCTAACTTGGCTTCCTTGCGTGGGCTTATTTGTGTGTGTGTGCGCGTGTTTTTGTTTGTTTGTTTGTTTGCTTGTTTGCTTGCTTGCTTGCTTGCTTGCTTGCCTTCTTGTGTGTGTGTGTGTTGTGTGTTGTGTGTGGTGTGTGTGTTTGTGTGTTTGTGTGTCTGTGTGTCTGTGTGTCTGTGTGTCTGTGTGTCTGTGTGTCTGTGTGTCTGTGTGTCTGTGTGTCTGTGTGTCTGTGTGTCTGTGTGTCTGTGTGTCTGTGTGTCTGTGTGTCTGTGTGTCTGTGTGTCTGTGTGTCTGTGTGTCTGTGTGTCTGTGTGTCTGTGTGTCTGTGTGTCTGTGTGTCTGTGTGTCTGTGTGTCTGTGTGTCTGTGTGTCTGTGTGTCTGTGTGTCTGTGTGTCTGTGTGTCTGTGTGTCTGTGTGTCTGTGTGTCTGTGTGTCTGTGTCCGTGTGTCCGTGTGTCCGTGTCCGTGTCTGTGGGTCTGTGTGTGTCTGTGTGTCTGTGTGTCTGTGTGTCTGTGTGTCTGTGTGTCTGTGTGTCTGTGTGTCTGTGTGTCTGTGTGTCTGTGTGTCTGTGTGTCTGTGTGTCTGTGTGTCTGTGTGTCTGTGTGTGTCTGTGTGTCTGTGTGTCTGTGTGTGTCTGTGTGTCTGTGTGTCTGTGTGTCTGTGTGTCTGTGTGTCTGTGTGTCTGTGTGTCTGTGTGTCTGTGTGTCTGTGTGTCTGTGTGTCTGTGTGTCTGTGTGTCTGTGTGTCTGTGTGTCTGTGTGTGTGTGTCTGAGTGTGTCTGAGTGTGTGTCTGTGTGCTGTGTGTCTGTGTGTCTGTGTGTCAGTGTGTCAGTGTGTCAGTGCGTCTGTGCGTCTGTGCGTCTGTGCGTCTGTGTGTGTGTCTGTGCGTCTGTGCGTCTGTGTGTGTGTCTGTGCGTCTGTGCGTCTGTGCGTCTGTGCGTCTGTGCGTCTGTGCGTGTGTTTCTGTGTGTCTGTGTGTCTGTGTGTCTGTGTGTCTGTGCGTCTGTGCGTCTGTGCGGCTGTGCGGCTGTGCGTCTGTGCGTCTGTGCGTCTGTGCGTCTGTGTGTCTGTGTGTCTGTGTGTCTGTGTGTCTGCGTGTCTGTGTGTCTGTGCGTCTGTGCGTCTGTGCGTCTGTGTGTCTGTGTGTCTGTGTGTCTGTGTGTCTGTGTGTCTGTGTGTCTGTGTGTGTGTGAACCGTCCTGGAGCACGGACGCAAAACTTTATGCAGCAGGGGGGCTGTCCACTGCATGGAAGTGACGGCCCAACGAAGAGGCTTCCATCAGTGCTGATATGGATTCTGGACGCAGAATCCACGTACCTGCAGCGATGAGAAATTCCTTTTGCGGTTCCTGTTTGTCGCTGTTGCTTCCTGTTCGGTGTCGATGTTGTGACCTGTTGATTTGCATTTGCATTCAAGCACTTTTACTGACTGCGTTTTTCATCTCGGCTAGTGAAGCCTCTCGAGATAAGTGTGTTTACCCACGGCCTGTCCGACATGGCGCTGTGGGCTGGACTCGCCACATGCGGGAGCCCCCTGCGAGGGGAAGACCGTTCATACGTTCAAATTCAAGCTGCAGTTCAGCGCGATTGACCATGATCAAGGCAGCGAATTTGCAGGTGAGGTACCATTCGCGTTCGCCTAGCACTACTTGCACTGCCTGCATTTTGAACAAGGCCTCATGAGGTTTCGGCTAGGCTGCCGCATGTGCAAGGGACAGGTCGGTCAAACACCGACTTTGCAGTTCATCGGTTTATGCTCTGCACTGACTCTGATCAGTTCAATTCACTTTCACGTTCAAGCGACACCTGCATTGACATGAGTTGGACCGACAAGGCAGCTTTTTTGAGGCACAGGTCATGTGTGAATCAGTTGCTACATCGTGCCTGCCCATTATTGTTTCCACCCCTCTCTTTCCAACCCTCTCTCTCCCTTGCAAGATGGCTGGACACCAGCTCTATGACATGATGCATTCGCTCCTGCAAAGCATTGCGGCCAGCACCGTGTCCGGCTCACCAGGCAGCGGTGGACCGAACCTGCAGTTGTCACCCCAGATGATGCAACCCATGAGCCTCGCACCTTCACCCAACCCACAGACCACGCCCTTTGCACCGTTTTCCATGATACCCGATGGTGGCCTCCCGAACTTTGGCGATGTCCGTGATGCCCTACGGTGGCCTTCCTAACTTTGGCAACGCGACATCCGGCGCCCTGATGCCCTTCATGGCTCAGAACAGCATGCCATCTTCATTGCCCGAGCCTCAGCCGGCACGCGCAGCCGATGCAGCTGCTACGACTCCTGCCGCCGCTTCCTCGACCAACCCACATCCCACGGACACTCGTCCCCAGTCCCACTCCCGCAGATCCCGTTCCCGTCACAGACGACACCGCCACTCACACTCCCACACCAGTCATCACCGTGGACACGACAAGTCGCTACGGCGACACACCACCCGGCGAGCATACAGCTCCAGCCGGTCACATTCCCCCTCACGGCCCCACCACCGCTCCAGGCGATCGCACCGCAACCCCATCTCCCTCCGCTCACGCTCCCCCCCGGCGCAGGTCCTCCCAACGACACTCCCCCGCACCCAGGACCACGGCTCCACATCGCACACCTCCCAAGGTTCCACTTCCCGGCGCACTTCCGGATGGGACACCGACAAGTCTCAATGGTCCTCTCCACGCTGGTGGAACCAATCGTGGGGACACCCACCGCAGAGCCACAGTACAAGCAGCTGGAGCAGGCACCGCCACAGCACCAGCAACACAGGCACCTGGAGCAGTCAGGACAAGCGACAGTCCTGGCCACAGCAGCAACCTGGGCAACAACCGCGTGCTAGCCGCAACAACGCCAGCATGCCCCCTACTCCTGCACGCGGCGGCTTTCCCAACCCCCCCTCCCCGCCCTGCACCTCCCCAACCCTCCCCCCAACACCCCTTGGATGACACTGAAGACCTGGATCCCCCTCCGTCGGAGGCAGAGCTCAACACAAACTCCGACAACCGGTGGCTTGATCAATGGCGAAGCGTCATGCACACAGCCAAGACTGACCCAATGCGCCTAGGGAGTTGGGGGAGCTAGACCCGCTTCCACCAGAATGGAACAGACCAAGACCAGCCTGGACCTCCTCGCAGAATGCTGGGAACTGCGAACCATGGACATGGATGAGCCCATAGCGTTCGACCCCAGCTTCTACCATCTCCTGGGACGGGAATCACATGGCATGGTGTTCGCAACCACTTGGTTTCCCCGACCACACCCCTGGCCGGTCGCTGGCGGGCGCCCGGAAGCTGGATCCGGCACAGCTTCCCATCACGCTGTCATGTGTGTACACGGCACCACCCCGGATCGAATGCGCCGCATGTCCTATGAGAACATGATCCGGCCTGCTGCATGGAGGCCTGAGAACCATGACTACCCGAGATTGGGATGCTACGCTCAGGCCACTCCCACAGGCTGACACGTTAGGCCAGCTTTTGCAGAACTTCACCATCGGAAAGTCTCAGGTTGGGGCCATCGCTTTTGGGGAACTGCGCTCTGTCAATCAGCACAAGATCTTGGAGTCCGGGGGAAGCCACGAGGACCAGCACAACGTGCGGCGCCACTTTGCATGCCGCAGAGGCAAGAAGTGGTGCCTTCACTCCAAGTATGCCATGCTGAGAGGGTGTCGCGCTGCAGCGCCCGGCATAGCGGGGCGCGAACCGTACCATATTCCATATTCCATGTGACCAGGAAAAGAACTGATGCACGGTTTGTTCGCTTTGTTGCCTTTTCAGTGACCGGTCGTTCGCCATACGACCCTTCCTTTTGGTTGCCGTTTGCCAGCCTTTGGTTCGAACTTGGCCCCTTTCCCTTGTGTTTTCTCATGGCTTTCCAACCCCCTCGAGGCTTGTTACCGATGCTCCAAAGGCAAAACTATCCACAGCAGCCTTCACCCGCTGCATCCAACCACCATGGCAACATGTACGGCAACAACACGGCCGGAACCCCGTGCGGGGCCCTGTTGGGGCCTTGCTATGGATGCTCCTCTTCGACCTGGACACCACCGACTCCCTGCAGACCCCACCACTTCCCACTTCCAGCCATCCACTCCACCACCCCTCGGCCCCCGTCCCCCCTTCACCGGCTTTCTCCCCCCTCCTCCCGGCGGCGCCCATTTTCCCCCTCCTCCCCCCGGCCCCTTCGCCCGCGGCCCCCTTTTCTCCCCTCCCTCCACCGCCTCGAAGGCCACACCCCCTCCTGCTCTTCGCCCCCTCCACTCCGTCCCAACACCAGCCCAGCAGAGTTCAACCCCGACGACGATCACTACGACACCACCCGCGTCGCAGGGTACGACCTGCCCAAGGTCATAACGCATACCGCGTTCACCCGGCAATTGGGCATTGAGGGACAAGACATCGCTCGCGTTTCCCTCCTCAACTTCCTGCACGAACAGTGGAACAGCTGGTGGTTGCGCCACCTCGCCCATGGAGGTGAGGCACGCATCGTTGTCGCAAAGTCGATGCCGGAGTCAGTCTTCGCCGCTGGGCTACTCAGCCA